TGCTGCAGCTATGTAGTATGTAACGCGTTTATTTTTTCTTTCTCTCCTTTTCGGAGCTCGCTCGAACGAGTATATAGCAGCGGCAGCATGAGGCCACCTCTGCGCGTCGGGGAGAAAGTTTTTCTGGCTGAGGCTAATATAGCGTTACGGCCAATTAGCCTTGCCTGCCGAGCTGTGCACGGCTACTACTACTACTACTACTACTACTACTACTTTTTTGGCTAATTGCGCTTTAAATCGAAGCTTCTCGTGAATTCGCGCGTACGCGTGCCGATCGACATATCTGCTGCGAGCTCGTTGATTGAACCGATCCATGTTTCGTTGCGATCATCGCTGCGCTGCTTATAATTATGCACTTTACTTCATGGAAATTCCGTTTCAACCTGTCTCAGCTCAGGCACATTAATGTGTGTCATCATGAATAACCCAATTGTTATATAGCAACACCGCCAAAGAAGCTTCCGGATGAAAAATTAGCCGCTTGCAGAAGATACACGCGTGTATAACAGTTGAATTCGCATTATACGTACGAGTGATTCTCGGGTTTGTCGAGCTCATTGAAATTCGTCGTGTGGAGTTTCAGGTCACTTCTCACGACGCTCCTCCGATCCCATTATATTAGAATATATATGTGGCATAGGATTCTTGAAAAATCCACGCGCCACCTCCGCATGCGAGCCGAGTTTCTTCTTCTGCCGCGGCTGCACGACGAGAGTTGGCATAATACAATAATATAACGGCGGTATAAAAGCGCGTGTCGTGCCTATACAGCATGTGTAAGACTCGCGTATGTATTTATTATTATGGTGTTTACGCAATTTCTATGATCCGCGCTTGTTTGTGTATGTGTGTGTATATCGAGAAGCGCATTGCGCAACGCTGAAATGTATACATTTATATATGTATATACACATCCACTCGGTGCAGTACACGACGTTGTATTTCGCCGTGTATTTATAAGGACGGTATCGGCGCTCGAGATTCGTTCGCTTTTTTAGCGGAAAATCGGCAGACTCGAAATTACATGTATATCCTCGATCTCGCGTGCTCTAATGAGATTTCGATCTGCTGCTGCTTCAAGGATAAGCGTGGCGGAGATCGACGACGTCGCGCGCAATTCGTCGTCTGTACGCGGCAATTTTGAGGAAAAATATGCGTTGCGAAAGGTCGAGCCTATATAGCCGCCGCTGGCCGCTAGCGCTCATGGAAATTGAACTGCTTTTTTTTCTGTCTCTCTCTCTCTCTCTCTCTCTTTTCTGTATAAGACGATTTATTTCGATCGGGGACGGTTTGACAGGTCAGTGAGCAAAGCCGCACGACGTTCCAGAGCGATCTGCGGGAGAGAGAGACAGATACGCGTTATTGGTACACGCACACGCGACTTTGGGTGACGTTTTGCAAGGCGTCCGCACATTGCCCAGAGATTTTACGAAGTGCTATTCAACTACGACAACAAAAAAATTGACAAAAAATAACAAGGCAATTAGCGAGGACGAAATTCAAAGCGATCCTCGCTCGCGCGCGCACCGTGCGTGACATAATCGAGATCGAGAATCGAGCTATATTAGCACACCTGTACGTATACAGGGTCCGTGACTCAAGTCCACCCGCGCGCGCGAGCAAACGGCCCCACTACTCCGCTTCTCGTGATTGCCAAAGTCAACAACCTGCACCTCTAGAGCTGCAGCACGAGTATAACATGTTTATGTATTATATACGTATAGAGTCGCTTTTTTTGCTCTCACGCCGCGCTTATACCGAAGTAGAGAGATGAAACGCGAGTATGCAGCGTCTGACGTATGGAAGCAGTTTTATATACATTATACATGCTCATGATATACGCACTTTTCTCGCCGATCTACATCCGAGAGTCGCGCGCGTACATATATATATTTATGCATCGAAGAGCCTTTCTAAAACGCCATCACTACCGGCGGCGTCGGCGAGATATCAGGCAGCTGACATATCGAGCTGCAGCTCGCGGCGCGTATCCTTATTGAACGCGTGCCTATATGATCTATCCAGAGCTCATGTGCATGACTGTATAACGCGTTAGCGAGGTGAAACTTTTTTAGGCTCGAAGCTCAAAAATGTAATCGTAAGAATACGGAATCTTCGGGTGGACAGAGTCTGTGATGGAATAAATTTAATTACAACTTTATGAATTCAATCTAATCGCTTCTGATGATCTGATTATCTATACGCATAGACACTACAAGTGAACCCTAGGGTCTTTTCTTTTTTTTTAATCGCATTTTTTAGCTTTTTTACATGTTAAATATTCTTAAATTAAATTTGTTAATTTAAACTCCATTTTTGATTGTAACAAGAATTATCACAATTAAAGAGCTCATATTTGATTATAATATGAGCTTTCCGATCCGATCAATAGATGGCGTATCGTAAACTCGTAAGTGACAGAACCAAGCTTAGATTCGTATAAATACGAGAGATATGTAATATGAGAGCAATAGCTTAATTCTGGGTCTATACGACTGTAGGTGTATCCATGCGAGTATAACACGTACGAGAAAGAAGAAATGTTGCCTGCGTCGGGCAATATCACCGAATATATGTTATTTTTTCGGCTTTCGCGGGGCCCGTTGTCGAAATATTGATCCAACCGAATTATGTATTCCGTTCTCGGGTAAAATTTTGAGGCTCTTTAAATAAAGTCAATGACACTTGCTGGATCACATACACACGCTAGCGATGACGTTAAGTTTGGAATTTATAAGGCACGTAAATTTCATTGTCGTCGTCGTCGTCTTCGATGGCGGCGCGAAATTGAGCAATCGTTTTTTCATATATATATAAGGTCTAACGATGCAATCTTATTATATACTTTTATTGTAATGAGCCACTGATTGTTGATTCAGCGCACTCGATTGACATCGAACGCGCGCGAGTGACCGAGAAAACGACAATAAAGAATAATGATAATAGTAATATTTTTTTGGCAATGAACATTTGAATGCAATTACACGTACACGAATAGAATGCAAATCAACTACTGAAATACGAGAGGAAAAAAATAATCGTCACAGAACTCGAAAGAGAGAGAAAGTCGTTTTCGAGGTGCTGAATGTGCCAGCACATGCATCATACAGCTGCCACACATACTCCAGCATACAAAGTTTTCTACGCGGACACCTCTCGGTACTTTTCATCAAAAGTTTTATTGCTCGTGAGCGGTATATTGGGCTGCACACATGCTCATTTTCCTTTCCTTTTTGTTTTTCATTTCTCTTGAATATCGGGAAAATTCGTTGTACATGGCACGCGTCGCTCTACTTGTTTTACTTTTGCAAATATACATCGGCAAATTGTCTTGCTCGTAAGTATACATCGATCGAAAATTCATTTGTCTTATCCGATCGAGGAGTTAATCAGACCGCGGTGCGCCTTGCAACTGCGCGTACAAGCGTGCGAAAAGTAAAATTTTGAAACTCGATCGACGCCTCTCGACTTTTATCAAAGCAGAGCGTAAATACATAACACGGAAAACGCGTTATCGTAGGATAAAAACGCGAGTAAAAGTGCACTTGACCGCGGCAGCTCACCGCTGACCTAGACAAAAGAAGAAGTGAAAATTCGCGCGGGGCTTCGATCGAAATTTCGCATTAAATGCCTCATTATCCAAACGCGCCGCGGTGCGCGCAACTGCGAAAATCGCCGATCGATCCGATGCGTGTACGCGCGAATTAATGAGAGAGCAGTGAAATCAAGCCGTAAAACCACGAAGAAAGTGCATATATACGTATACGCGGTAGCCAATGGCCGTACATCGATTGTCATACGCGCATAGCTCGCATGTACATAGGTATGCACTGCATTCGTGCGTAGAGATTAATACGTCGAGAGTAAGTACGAAGAATGAGAAGAAAAAAAAGTTGACCACGCGCACAAAAGCGAGAGTCGGTTGAAAAAAAATTTACTAATAATCGATCATTACTCATCGCGTTTCACGTGCATCGAATGCTATACGTATAGACATCAAACCTCGCGCACACGGGGGTATACATCATTATTATTATTATTATTAATATACAAGGAAAGAGAAAAAAAAGAGTAAAGTTGATTCGAAGCCAGGGCTTATCTAATCCACCGCCACTGCTACTGCTTTCACTCCTCGTTGGCGCGAATTCAGGTGTCTGTATTTATACGTTTTCCAAGCCTTCTGATACGGATTTGCGAGATGGAAAAATTGATTGACACGAGGCTGCGATCCTCCATACTCGCGATGTGCAGTGCGCGACGACGACGACGACGCCCGCGAAAGAAAGTCTCTTGATACACATTCGGCTACTTTCCCGCGTGCTCGTTTCTACGTATACGTTGGGCGTCGTCGTCGAGCGGCGACGGGCCCTTATCTCAATTCTCATGCCGCGGCGTTACCGAGATGATCTTCTCTCTCGGCGGCAACCCATACAATCTGGGCCTCCTCGCGCACATACACACACAATCGAGATCCTCGATCTGAGACGACGTCGACCTTGTCTCGGCGTCGCGCACACAGCTGCGTCGCGAGAAACAGGAGTTATTTTTACGACTTTCCTCACAATTTTAATTCGCGTAAATAATTCGAAATATGCCGGATACCTACGTGACTTTTTTTCGGTCGCCAACCACAATCGACCTTGCGTACTAATTTATATAGTTTTATTTAAAATGGTTTATATTTCCTTAACAGTTGCGAAAGAGAATGCAAAGTTAGGAAGAGCGAGAAAGAGAGAGCAAAATAAAAAAAATGAAAACAACAACAACAACGGCTCGTCTATTACGCTCTAATTGCCATTGGCGCACGTGTTTATCGAGGAGAAAATCGCCGACTGCGAGTTTATTCTAATATCCAGCAAACGCGAAGCCGAAAGTGTGTGCACTTATATTAATATACGAATATGCAGAGTGAAAATTTGTAAATATATGTACATTCAGGCGAGTGCGGAAATGGCATATATAAAACTCCGCAAAAAAGCAACTATATAGGAATAACTTACCGGAGAGCTTGGCGTAGAGGGGCAGCGGCGTGTCGTAGTACGACGACCTGACGCCGACCGGACAGGCGAACTCGTCCTCGTAGTCTACGTCGTCGTCCAGCTGCAGCAGCTCCTGTCGCGTCTCGTAGATGGGCTGCTGCGTCGGTTCCGCCAGGGGAGGACGCCTGCTGTAATCGTACCTGCTGCTGCTGCTGTTTTTTCTCATCGTCGCCGCGGCGGCGGCTCGTCTCAGGGTCGCGGACAGATCGCTGCTGCCGAAGTAGATCTCCTCGACGCTGCCGGGCGCGTGGTAACCGGGCTCGCGAGCAGCTGCGTACCTGCGTTCGTTCGTCGAATGTATTATTCAAATGATGGCGCGATATCGAGTCGCGGGAATGCATTTCATTTTCGATTTTTCGATCGCGTAAATACATGCACGCGTATATATATGCGATCGCTCGCGATTTTCTTTCGTGAAATCGCACAAATTATAATATAGCGCGCGCTTTCATATGCTCGTGTATTAATTCGCGATCGCTACTTAACTTTCGTTATAACTTCATCATTACTCACTGATAATTCGAGTCGTAGAGATCGGTATCGCTCGGGCCAGCGTAGCGGCTTCCGGCCCTTCGTCGCCTCGTCGTCTGATAGATCGGCTGCTGCTGAATGATCTCCTCCTCCGGCGGCGGTGGCGGTAGGGCCACGCTGTGCCGCCTGATGTACGCGTAGTTCTCGAGGTCCCACGGGTCGACGTAGTTCCGGCTGCCGTTGGCGTTTCCGCTGCTGCTGCCGGCGCTGCCCGAGCTGCCGATCGACGAGTCGACCGAGTCCGGCCAGTAGATCGACGCCAGCTTCGAGCGCATCTTCGCGTACGTCTTCTCCATCATTTTTCCTTCTTTTTCTTTATTTTCTTCCGGTCACTGGTATACAACTTTTTGAGATACGTAAACGGAGTCGAGCTCGGAACCTCTATATCAAAGCAGCAGCAGCAGCTCCATGTCGTCTTGATTATGCGCACATAAAGATGTAAATTATTTCATAAATATATAATACAGCAACAACTTTTCCCACTCGAGGCGAAAGCACGACTCGCTATATACATGCCCCCGCGCACAAGCACTCGCCTCTTCCGACACGACGCACACTGTGTATACCGCCGGAGTTTGCTGCTTCTCCGGACGCGCTCGTCTCGCGAATGATCTTTCGCGACTCGGTGCGCGCCCGCCAAAGCAAAGCACACACGCGTATACACATTCACACACACACACGCGCGGCTGTCCCGTTGCGGCTCGGCGAGTCCACGAGTTGCCACCACCACCACGATCGTGAGCTCTCGGCTATCCTATACAGCTTTTTATCTATCTTATTACTTGCCGCCCGCAATCGATTGCCGCTCGTTTTTGAGTGTATTGAGATACATTTAGTAACGTGTCTCCCGCACTGGCGTATCGATCCTGTTTTTTTCTCAATGATGTGAGACTTAATTTGAGGTGCGTTGGGTATACGAGGAGAGAAGCCGCGAAAAACGAGCGCGCGAGATGATAGCGAGAATAGAGAATCTTCGAAGAGACAAAGGAATTGATTAAATTTTTCAATTGAATCACTGCTGGTTATTTTTTTATCCAGCATTTATGCACATCAAATTGGTTGACTTTTTACATATATAATAGAATTTATTAATTTGCTTGATCTTCAACTTTTTGGGTAATTTCGTTTGAGTTTCACTCCTAACAGCTATTTTTAAAGGAGTCCATAGCAATATTTAAAAAGCGTTATACTTTTCATTAATTCATTTACTAAGAATAATATTCCAAAATTTGTTTTCTTATGTAACAAGATTTATCGTAATCAAAGATATAATATTTGAGTATGAGCTTTTTGATCCTATCAACAGATGGCGGATTGTCAACTCGCAAGTGGCAAAACAGAGTTCCGTTCATATAAATATCTCGATAATTTGATTTTTTTTGAAATAATTTGTATCGAAGTGCAAATTGAGCTATCTAGCTTATTAGTTACGTGCTTGGGTTGCGTGTACGAGCAATGAATTTGAAGCTGTTTATTTCCTCTGATTTTCTTCAAGTACTCTTTTACATGTTGCCATTTTTGATCGGCCCTGTGGAAGCTGGTTTTCTTCCCGTCTTGCTATACTTTTTCTCTAGCCGTTGACTCTGCGAGTTATTGAGCTTTGGTCATTGAGCTCAAGTAGCTAATTTGAAACTCATACTTTCTTTGCTGATTCAAACGAGACTCTCGATGCGTCTTGTGGTACAATGATCGATTCAAGTTTGTTTGCCTATGTAGAAAATACAACTGCTGCATGACCGGCAGCATTCAATTAGTTGACTTTTTCTAACGTTAGAAATTTCTATTTTTGGTTTTTGTCATCCACTGCGCGCCTAAGTAGGTACGTAAACACGATGCATATGCAGTTACCTGTAGTGAATTCAAGGTAAATGAAAATCCCCGACGCTCGAGTTCGTCTCTCTTTCAGACTCGACGTTTTATATATGCTTTATTGTTTGCTCTCGTTCTACTTTACATAATGGCGTTCGTACGTACTCGCGCGCTTTTTATTTATACATATATTTACAAAATCCGACGGTTTTGCATCACCGATCGACACGTCTCTGGCTCTTTATACAACTGACGCTTAAAGCATATAAAAAGCCATATATCGCCTCGAGAAAGAGAGAAGAGATGCACATCGGCGTGGAATAGAGAGGCATCATCGTCGAATGGAAGGTCGTTACCAGCCTCTCGCTCTCGGAATAATAACCGCGAGGAAGATCGTGGGCGCTGCTGCTGCTGCTGTTACTTATTGAGAAAGGTCGCTTGACTTTTTCAAGTGTTAGGCCACCAGCTCCATTGTATACACGCGAAGATGCAACGATCTACGCGTTTGTGTATACACGGCGGTGGTCCGCCTTCGCCATGTCTTTGCTCACGTATATGCTAGTTTGAAAAAAAAACACTCGAGTGAAATGGCGTGTCATTTGACTTGTATTTTAATTTCCGTCAGTCTGTTGACTGAAAATTTACGCATAAACTTATTTATGAAATGTTGATTAATTTTTCCTAGATATCAAAAAGGTAAATAATAAAGTATATAATAGTTACGTACAGAACATGTAAAATCGCATTGCGAGCACGCGAGTGACGAAAGATTCAAGAAAAAAATGTCTAACGCTACTGCACAGCTATTTTGTTCTTAAAAGTTGATAATATTGAATATCTTAAAACTTATAATTTTGGTCTGAAAATATGTATAATTGCTACATACATATAAATTGACACAGTTCAAAAATATGCGGAAAATATACAAATAGATACATTTTAAACTTCAGTACCTCTTCAGCATGTTTCTATCAAATTATCACATAACACTGATTATATTTCTAGCCAAACAAACTATAGTATGAGTTTTGTCTTTAACGATACAAGACATAATACCCAAAGATAATTGTATTTATTAATTTTCTGTGGCATTTAATATAAAAATCTATCGGTTAATTCAGGCACCAAAATGGATATTACTAAAAAAAAGTCAGGGGTAGTTTGTGATATTTGTCAAAAGCCATTTTCACATGAAAGAAGCATGATAAGACACCGAAAAATAGTTCACAGTAATCGCAAAGACTTCGAATGCGACAAGTGCGAGAAAAAATTTGGACGAAAATCGTCTTTGCTCACCCACCAAAGGACAGTACATGGAGGTCGCAAAGATCACACATGCGACACGCGGGAAAAAAAAATTCGGACATAAATGTAATTTACTCTTGCTAATAAATATAGTCCACGAGGGTCGAAAAGATTTCACATGCGACAAGTGTGAGAAGAAATTTCGTTTACAATCGAAATTGATTAAAAATCAAATGAAAGTTCATGATGATCCCAAATATTATCAATGTGACAAGTGCGAAAAGATATTTGGACGCCAATCGAGCTTGATCTCGCATCTATAAAGACGCATCAAGATGTAACCGGATGTCTTGAAAATTACGCAATCGACAAAGGCGGGCAGAAATTCGATGGTCTAAGATATTGGATCAACTCCCAAAAGTCACTCCTCAAAATTCACATAGATTTCTCATGCGATAAGAATGAAGAGACATTTGGGGATCAAAAAAATTTGGTTAGACACCAAAAATCAGTCCTTAGAGGCCGCAAAGATTATCAATGCGACAAGTGCGAGCAGACATTTAGAATTGAAAGCGGTTTGATCTAGCACCAAAAATTAGTCCACAAATTCCGTAAAGATGTCGCAAACACGAGAGAAAAATGAAATCTAAGCCTGTATCGAATTCGATCAGAAAAAGAAAAAAGTCAAGAAAGTTCGCAAAAGACAATCTTTCCGACCGGTGCTATAATTGTCTAGTTTGCCGATATAATAGATATTTGTCCCAAAAAAAGTTGGGGCACAGGCAAAGAACTCGTCACGCAAAACGTGTGAAAGTGAAGACATTTGCAGTTGCATATAATATCATGTACGATTATAATCAATGTTTTAGAAAATGTAAATATTATATTTACACAAATGACTAAAACTTTTTTCAGTAAATAACGTGTATTTCATCAATGAACTAATCATACGCGTTCGTGCTTTTCTTGACAAGTACAAAAAATCATGATTTTGTCTTAATTAAAACTTTGGGCTACCTAACAATACATCTTGGTTTGTTATATAGTGTTGGTATTATATTTTTACACCAGACAAGATTTCGACGATTTGAAGAAACGAAATTATGGGTTTTGGCAACTTTGGTTCCAAAAACCTTGGTCCCAGTGAATCATCAAGCTATCAAGATCTTGGAGCTGTCATTTTTAATCCTCGAGCTCGAAAAAATCTCTTCATGAGTATGCGAGGACTTCATTTTGATGGTTAAAGATTACGTTTCTAAGTTAGTTGTTGAACACTAATAAACTCGCATGAGAAACAAGAAAAAAGTTCTAAAAGTTATTTAAAGGCGTTTCGAGAAAACAAAACAAGACATGTGTGCTCATATTACGTGTCATTTGAGTTTTATTATAACTTCAGCCAGCCTATTGACTGAGAATGTACACATAAACTTAGGATTGCTATTTACACTTTACACAATGTTAATAATGGTTTTCTAATTATAAAAAAACGACAAGCAAAAATATTAATGATAATGAGTATTGAATTATCGAAAATATTTACAAAAATTTTGATCGTAAGTATACAGTCTATGGTAATAAATATAAACAACAAATAGTTGCGCACAGAACATGAAAAATCGCATTACGAGCATGCGAATGACAAAAAATTTAAGAAAACAATTTCTTACGCGATTAATCAACTGCTTTTTTGCCTACGATTTTGTTCGTAAAAGTTTATAACATATCTTAAAATATATTCTTTTTCTCTGAAAATATGCATCATCGCTATATAATAATAATAAATTAAATACCTCATACTGTAGAAAAGCTTTACAAGCGACGAACTATTTACAAGCTTAAAATATACAACAGCAAAGTTACTGAATAAAGACGCAAAGATAGGTAAATAATAACTCGTAGAAACTATAATAGCAGGGCATATCACAGTATCGTCATAAACTTTTTTGATCAATCGTTGTACCCGCATCATTTGCAGATGTGATGAATAATATTTGGAAAAACAAATACTCTCGAGTGTATTACTTGTTTATCATAACAGTTTAGTCTAAGTACTTGCGTTACAGAATACTTTAGTTTACTTCAATATTCTTTCAAGGAAACATGTCTTAATGGAAAGGCATCTTAAAAAATGATTCATTTGACTTGCTCTTGAATTCGACTTTCATCAAGTTATATTCTTCTAGTAATAACTTTGATTCCGAATTCACATTTTGAAATTTTTTATTTACACAATTTTTGCAAACTAAGGCAGTAAAGTAAGTCTATAATCAAGCATTTGACCAGTCCTATGCTTTCTTAGTTATTTTAAACATTAATATGTTCAATCATTATATTCGAGCTTGATTCGAGCTTGACATTACATCTATATATTTGGTGATTTTTTCGTTTTTATAGCGCATATCACGCTCATATATAATTGTACTACCTAATTTATACTTCAAAGTCTTTGTATCTAATCTTAAATAAATGTTACTTATATTGACAACATGCCAATTTATCTGACGTGATCTAGTAGTAAAGATGCAGCTTGATCCACGTCAAATTTAGCTCTTTTTAAAGCTAATTCACATTGCTGTTTGGTGGCAAGTCCAAGCCTGTAAAGGTGAAATTTATAATTTAATCTCGAAATTACTCTCCAATGAAAAAGAGATCAAATTCTTACCTAACAAGAGTTTCAATTTTGGCCAATCTATCACGGCCGATTTGTCTAGCTGCTTCCGCAGTATCCCATCCGGTAGCTTGCAGAGCAGCCAAAGCTTCTTGTTGCGAGGCATCCTGTGCCTCTTGTTGTACTTTCATTACTTTGCTGGCTCGGAATTCGTCATTAAGCGACATCACCAGTTGCTGCGAAGCACCGGTAAGCGGTGGACTAGCTCCTCCTGGATAAGTAGAAGGCGCTGGGACCAGCTGATGCTGCTGGAGTTTCGAATCGTTCATCTGCGGCAATAGATTTCGAGCTAAATTCGAATTAGTTACCGGAGACGACTGATTAACTGGCCTCGTCGGGGTGAAATTCATGAGACTCCCAGTATTTGTATTTTGATCGACATTAATTTTTTGATGAGCTGTTCCATTTTGAATGGGTTTCATCGGTGAGAAAGGAGGTGGTGGGTTATATGACGGCGGTTGTTTACGACTAGGACTAAATTCACGAGGAAGAGTTTGACGTTGTTGCTGTTGCAAGATCGAAGCTGCAGCGGCAGCATTCATAGTCGACTGAGATGGATTCATGGTACTGCTCGATTTCATATGCTAGAGTTAAACAAAAGAAATACGTTTAGTAAATTTATCGTATAAAAATTAAATCTTCAAGATTCTTTTTTGATATACTAACCATACTGTTACAAGCTGCACTAGCTAAGGCAGTACTGTTGGCTCTATAAGTACTGAGAATGTTTTCCCGGATTGCCTTATTGTACAATGTGTTGAACTCGTTTTGCGATAACTGTTCTAAATTAGGCACCGTACGTCTAAGCTCAGCGTAAACTTGCTCGTTCAGTACTGAACCGGCTATAGATGCTGGTCTAGGTACAACGGATGAATTGCTTGGTGTAGTACTTCTCATAGTGGTGGCAGTTGGCAAACTTGGAAATTGCTGCAGGGAAACTGTATCGAGGCTGTTAGGCTCTGAGTGCCGCTCGTCACTCCCTTGACTTCTTGGTCTTAATTGCACATTGCTGTTTTTAGGCTGTACTATCGAAGGTTGAAGTGGCTGCCAAGTGTTTTGCACTTTAGTAGGAGGAAAGTTGAAATTTTGCTGCTGCTGCGGTTGCTGTTGTTGCAAATCCGTATTGGGTGATTTGGGCTTAATTGACGGTGGAGGTGGTTTCAACATCGGTATTACAGTATTGTCAGCAGCCATAGCAACTGTCGCGACATGTTGCGGTGTCCGGTGATTAACATTACTATTTTTATTTGCTTCTTTTTCACCCAAATGTTTTTCTAGTTCTGCGAGGAACGCCGGGTCTAGTTTTTTCGTCGAATTTTCCTGCGGTGTAGCAATCGTCAGATCGTTCATACTTTGGACTACGTCAACGTTATTCTTCATCAGAGGTAATTTTTTCGGACTCTCTTCTGGGGTTATTGAAGGTGGAGTAGGTGGAGGTGGTGGAGTCGACATTTCTTGCATGTGCAAATTACGACTGACAACGTTGGCATACGTTGCTGCTGCAGGCGCTACCGGCGCCACTGCTCCCAAATCGTTCCGAGTTAAATCGTCGGGCCACTCTTGATCGTGTATTACCGGCGAATTCGCGTGCAATGTATTATTTTTTTCTACGTCGTTATAATGCCCATATCCATTACTTTCAGGCAGATTTACGTTCAGATTTGTGTTTTCACTGCGCAATTCCTTGTTGAGATTCAAAACTTTTTGAATTTCCGATGGAATATTGACAGCTGGCGGTAGGGACATTTGTAGATTATCGTATTGTTGTGCAACTGGCTGCGGAAGCGGCTAAAAAATTAATCGAATTAAACTTCTTCCTTTTCTTTTTACGGCAAGTTCGTAAAACAAAATGAATACTTTACCAGTACTGTGAGCTGAGACCCAGGCATATCGGGTGTAACTTGGTAGTATGCGCCAGTATTCGACGGCAAATCCATCGAAACGGGACTGTAGTACCTCGACTGTGGAATATTAGAAAACACGCGAGAGGTATCGAATGGATCGGGTGCATCGTTCGACGCGTCGTTTGGGCAGTTGGCGTAACTTCGCGGATCGAGCGGTTGTTGCGACCAGTAGGCTGCGGCTAATTCACGATTGTTCGAAGAGGCCGCGTTGTTTCTCGATTCAATTTCTTCGGGAGATAGATCGATGAGCGTGCCCTCTTGATTACTTGGAACTGAAAAAATAATTTTCTGGTTGAACGACTAATAATACATCGATCGATAGTTAGAGTAAGAAAAAAAAAGTTCAAGTTGTATGGACCTTGCACTCTATCTTGCCGAAATTTATTGATTGCAATTGTCATCATTATGTTCTTATAAGTATTGTTTGCGTTCTTTTGGGACACAAAAGATGGTTCTTAAAACAAAAAATAAAAAAAAGAAAAAAAAAATTATTCCGTGTCAGCGACTTTTCGACGAGCATCACTCTCAGAGATAACTTACGTTGCACGGGCGCATTGGGCACCTTGACGGGGCTTCCGCGCAAGTCATTCTGCAATTTCGTATAGTTGTACTGTTTTCGCTGCCTCTGCGACTGAACCCCGGGCACCATTTTCAGTGCGCTGTCGGCGACGCATCCCACCACGTCCGGCGGATCCATGGGATTTCTCAGGTACACGTCGTCGATGTAGATGGGACTGCCCCAGCTCTTGCCGAAGGGGGCGCCGTGTCCCGTGTGAATGAACGAGTTCTCCAGCGGTCGGCTGATGTCCTCGGCCTGCTTCCTGCGCATGGGATCGACGAGGCAGCGCGGGAACACGCCCACGTGATAGGTGCGCTGATTCTGGCCCTTCCACCAGTAGTGCTCGGGCCGACCGTCGATTATGGCGATCTGGTCGCCTTGGTCGATTTGCAGCCTCTCCGGCTCCTCGAAGCGGCTCAGGGCCTTCATGACGGGCGGCACCATGCTGGTGAGGGCCTCCTTGAGCTCGGCGAAGCTCGGCCTCTCGCAGGGCTCGCGAGCCCAGCAGCGCATCATCAGCTGGAACATGGCCGGCGTGCTGGCCTCGGGCTCGTGCAGCCGCTCGCCCTCGCGGTCGATCTTCTTGAGTATCTCCGAGCCGTTGAGGCCCAGCCAGGGCTCCTCGCCGAAGGTGAACATCTCCCAGATGGACACGCCGAACATCCAGACGTCCGAGGCGTGACTGAACTGTCGGGATTTCAGGGACTCCGGGGCGCACCAGGGGAACGGCACCTTCTTGTGCTCCGTCATGACGTAGCAGTCCTCCTCCTTGGAGAGGGCGCGCATGAGGCCGAAGTCGCAGATCTTGATCTTGTCGAGGCTGCTGAGGAGTATGTTGCGGCAGGCCAGGTCGCGATGCAGGATGTGCTTGTCCTCGAGGTAGGCCATGCCGGTGGCCACTTGGAGCGCGTAATCGCTGAGCTTGAGGACGGACATGTTGCCGCACTGCTTGCGCAGGTAATCGATGAGCGAGCCCAGAGGTGCCAGCTCGGTCACCATCATCATAGGCGCCGACAACACGACTCCGTATAATCTGAAAACGGAACAAAAAATTAATCAATTATTCATCGATGAAAAATGTAAGGAAAAAAAAACGAGTCGCTTGCGTAACAACAGCGCAGGCGTCGACTCACCTGATGAGATTGTGATGATCGAGGCTGTGCATGCTCTGGACCTCCGAGACGAAATCCTCGATGACGCTGGGCTGCATGAGAGCGTCGGCCTTGAGCACCTTGACGGCCACGGGCAGGGTTCGGCCGGTTATGGGCGAGTTCCACTCGCCGCGCCGCACCACACCGAAGCTGCCGTCGCCCAGCTTCACCGACAGCGTCACGTCCTTCTCGGCGATGAGGCACGTCAGGGCCATGGGGTTTTTAGCGCCGTTGCTGCTGCTACCGCTCGTGGAGGAATTCTTCGAGTCGCGCTTGTTGGTCTTACTCTTGTCGGGCCTGATGCGCTCGATGATGTTCTTCTTCCACTGGCCGGCGCGCTTCTTCTTCACGGCCTCGAGCAGTCGGCGCACGCCGGGCTTGCCCATGCCGATCTTCTCCAGATCCTCGGGCTGCACGTAGTCGAAGTGCTGGATCCGGGTCACCTGCAGATCGTCCCTGATACGGGTGAAGAACTGCGACAGCTGGACGTCGCTCAGCAGATCTTGGAGCCACTCGGTGCTGTCGTCCTCGGCCATTGTGTCGCTTTGAAGAACGATGCCGATGCCGACGCTGACGATGAATGCAGTCGATTTCTGCGCGCCGAGAGCATAAGAAGTATATGAGTATCAAAAGAGCGAATCGGCGAATATAATATAAGAATAGGTCATAAACACCTAGGACAGGAAATTGAATAATAGACGTACACGATCGGCGAGGTTTATCTATTATTATATACCGCTTGAACGAGAGTACAAGTGAGTGAGGGAGAGAGAGGATGATTTGCGCAATTGCAACGAGACGATCCCCGCCGTATAAAACGTATACTCGATTTATATAAATGGAAAATCTACGCGACAGTCGTATAGCCGCGAGCGATTCAGGACATGGCGCTTTAAAACGAGCTGCGGTGCGCGTTGAGCAACGTGTTTTCTCTTCGCGGCACATCTGCGTGCGTTCTTTGGCCTGTTGTTTGCCAATACATTTCGCGAGTAGATATAAAATAGTTCTTGAAAAAAAAAAAAAAATAAAAAAACCCGAATATCATTCACTTTTCTGCTGCTGCTTTACGGAGCTCGAAAGCGAGCGAGGAAGACAATGCGCGTAATAAGCATATTACAAGGTGCCGAGGGAACGAGAGCGCGAAGAGAAAAATTCCGCTCCTGCGCGTATGTACGTACGTGTGCGTTTTATATGCTACACATACATTATATGAATCGAGACAATTGTCGCGGCCGCCGTCGTCGTTCGTTCGTTATTATATCGTTATAATAAACATAAAACATCCGTGCTCGGCGCGGGCAAAAAAGCGCGTATCACCAGGCTCTGCACTCCGCTACCGGTATATACATACGGCACGCGTGTGCAACAACAAAACGTTTTCTCATTAAATTTGACGCGAAACTTTCTCAACTCGAAAGTACGCGTGTACGATATGTATAAATTTAAGAGAGAAAAAAACGTCGTCGTCGCGCGCGCGCGAGAGATGACACATGCTGCACGCACACGCGCGTGTCTACGTATATATACGTACCATTACTTTATAAAACATTCGACGCGTGTACAATGTTATTATATATACATGCGTGCCAAGGATTGAAAACAAGCAGAGCGACACTGGTGCATTATATATATAGGTATATGTATGCACATATATGAAGCGCGCACAGAGCGCACTGATCTTCATAATTATCATAAAAAGCCTGCATTCAACAAAACGCCGCGCTCCAGCTATACATAATATGTAGATGTGTGTGCCAGAGCTAGCTGCACAAGAGGAAAAAAGGCTTAGATGCGTGTAGAGGATAAAAACTGTATTGAGCGAAGGTCACTGCTGCTGCAGCAGCAGCACAGAGAATCTATGAAGAATGCCAACATCCAGTGCCTCGCAGGTAATTCAATATAACACATTGTGTATCGATGATTGTTCAAGGCAAAAAAGCTAATTTCAAGTTTATTCTATTGCCTGTGCGATTGAGGATTATATTTTATAGGTGGTAACTGGTTCGTATTCAATCCGTATAGAGATAATTAGAAAAGCAGATTAGAGGAGATAATACTGGTACGTCTCTGATATCAGAGACCACTTAAACTCAATAAGAAAATTAATACGACAAGCTTTGATTTTGATTGAAAATTGTGTACTGTGATAAGGCACAGTAAAGCTTGAAAAATCAATATTCTGTCAAATTATTGTATGTACATAAACAAGCTATGAAAACTAAAGCTAATACATTGCGTAGAAACAAGGTGTTAATAGCCAGTACATAAAAGATAAGAGTAAAGTGATGCATATGAAAACAGTGACAGTTGTACGCGTCCAAGAAGTAGAAAAATTCCTACTAATTGGTCATAATTTCTATTACATCACGCAAGGTTGAAGTCATTGATAAAATAGGCAACGACCAGTGAATTCAATTGTCAACGAGAGTGAATCATAGCCCTTGAGCAAAAGCAACTATGTAACCATGAACTTCCTGCAACAATCTCAGTGGCAAAGTGGCTACTGAAAACTGTAGTATATAAAATTCACTGAGATAGTGCCTGGAGAAAGAGCATTGGGCAAAGAGCACGGCGTGTAACCGAATCTCCTTTCTTTTAGCCGAGCTTCATGGGCCAAAAAAAAAACAAAAAAAAACAGAAGCATCAGCTGCATACAAACTCGATAAGTAGCGTACACCGAGGTGTATAGTTACCTCGACTCGTTGCTTCTTCTTTTTTTCCTCGCCTCTTCCTCTTCAGTTCATCTTCTCCCTTCTTCTACTGCGAGCACTACTTGCATTCGTTGCACAAAAAAACATGAAGATATACAAAACGCACGGCACTGAACGTATAAAACGGAGATTTTTTTCTCAACAAACACTTATAAGTTAGTAACAAGGCGCATGTATGCGAAATATATATCGGCGCTATAACGGGCGCTGATCGATGAGAGAATCACGACGCTCGACTACGCACGTAGTAGTAGTACAACGACGACGATGATGCTTTGTGGTCGTAAACGTCGGTCTTGTCATGATGCCTGCTCCGTGCGCGGATATATGGAGATAGGCTAGCTGTCTCGGGGCACCGATCGCAGACTGTTTCGGTCTTACGACGAGGCTCACTGCTGCTGCATCCTGCGTATACAATACCAGACGACCACAGCAGGGGCGTTTGTCAGAAGAGGGCAGGCAGGCAGCAGCAACACTGAACACGAGAGAGCAGCTGGCAGATAACGGTAGAGGGAGGAGAACGCACTGTATGCTAGCAGCAGATCAGGCGAGGATCAAGCAGCAGCTGAGAAAATTGATGCGCGTTTGAATAGCGTTTGGAGCTATTTAGACACTCAGCTGCAGCATGAAACAGCAGCAGCAACACAGCAGCACAGTGGCAATTGTTTCACGCTTATAATGTATGAAAACCGATCACAGTCTTGACAATTCGAGCGCTCGAGTTCGACTGTTAAACACCTTTTCTATTTTTTTTTCAACGCAGCTTCTGCTGTTGCTGCAGCGAGTCCGCAACTGACCAGTTGCAGCGGCGCCCGCTTTTCTGCATGGGTGCGAATATGATGCTATTACAAGCACACACTAGGCTGCGAAACACTGCCTCGGTCTCGAGGCAGCAGCAGCTCGGCGGCGGCGCTTTTTACTCTCGTTTCGCGTGCTCGGTGTCTGGCGCTCGGCGCGACGGCCCACTGGCGGGGGGCGTCAACATCGCGTGGATTATTTGCGCGTCTTTCGGAGCACGGTTGTGTTGCAATAAAAAAGTCTCAGACGTATACGTGTACGTACGCGATCGTTGGTAATGTAGCTGTTCTCTTTCGCATTTTTTTGGCGCGCAGATTTATTTATTTTTTTAAGAATCGATGATAGCGATTACGGAAAGGACTAAAAACTCAAAAATTCAAACGCTACTTCGAATACCAAACAAATACTCTTAGAAAAATAAGATATTTTTAATCAAAAGAAAGTGAATTCAAGACTGCATGGTCCGTGAGCCGCCCGAACATCTGCCGCGCTATTATAAAAACTTTCTCCGGAAAGCATCGTATGGATTCTCTGTATTAAATGGTCCGGTTAAAGATCGAGGGAACAAATGAAAATTTTAAAATCCACTTGTGGGGGCGTCTTGAATGTATCTTGTAGATGACCGTTGTAACGGCTATTTTCAAGATAATCCTCGATTCCGGTGTCGAAAATTTTTTAGTTAAAGTTTTTCAAGTACTTGCTGACAATTAAAGAATGCAAAATTATTCAGTGGTTAGAAGAAAAGAATAAAAATTTTCATGTCATTGTGTAATTTTTTAGCAAGAATTCGCAATGGTCATCTAGATGATTTATCTATGGACACGATTTGATAAGATGATCAGATCATTTTTGAAATTTTTATTGTTCTATTTACGGGACGATAGAGCGGTACAAGTTCTTTAAATTTAAACAGTCGATTTCATTGAACGTAAATAATTAAATGCCCAACACTATTTCGAAAAATGAGCAGCAAAAACGATCAACGTAAAGGACAAAAATAATCCAAGTTTGGAGGTTATGTCGGGTTACGCCTCATCTTATCTAGCGGACAGGCAGCTGGACGCTCACCGGAAGTGACCTGAACTGCACGCAATAATAATCACAATAATAACAATAAAAACGAGAAGTAGTTGAGTTGCTGCCTCGGTCGAGTCAAACTCGTAGAGAAAGTAGAAATCCCGCGGCCAAGCGAGAGAGCGAGAGGACGCGATCTAACGGCTCGTAGCGAGTTCGATATATGACAAGGAGCAGTCGACACGGCATCGGTGCTGTTGCTAAAACGCATACAATACAACACGCACGGATTTACGACAAGAGCGCGGACTTTTTGGGCTTCGCATTTTATTGGACATTTGGACCACGACGACGACGACCTGCGGCGCTTTTTCCCGTGACCGTTCGCACGCCCACGCACAGTTCAGTACAAGCGAAAGAATTCAACACGACTCTACGACAGTGGTAGAGCCCCGTTACATCGATATAGCAAAAGGTACCTAAATTGATAAGGTTTTTTGTCGACAATAGGTAGGCCGCGTGTGTCTCGAAGCAGCGGCTACAATACAGCAGTAGCAAGCGCGCACATTGTCGCACATCGCACAGTGCCAAGAAGCTGATGTGTGCGTATGTGTCGATACACACACACACAAACACACACATACGAAAAATTTGGCGCCGCTGCCTGCTACAGTACACGCACCAACGGCCTCGCGACTTATATTATATATATTGTACACACATAGCAGCAGCAGCATACGTCGGCGTGACTGCTCACCACGGCATAGCAACGATTCAATTTTGCAATTTTTTTATTTCTATTTGCAGTAAGCTAACAGACAATCGCTCAGGATGTCGGGTATTGCAATGGCAAGATTAGCCGAGGAGCGCAAGGCTTGGAGAAAAGACCATCCCTTCGTAAGTGTCCCATTTTTTCAGTTTTTTTGTCTCAAGTCCACGCTTCTTGCACAGCTCGGTGTCCCCAACGAGTGAGAATTGCATATATATAGTTTTTTGAGGTTATGTGTACGTCGAATCTTTGTCTTGTTGCCTGACGTATTATACGATCGCGACTCGTTCTCTTTTCCATGAATGGCATTGTTTATCGTTCGCGAGTGATTAACGTTCCATAGCGGGAAGACCTTTTCGATTGTCAACAAAATGCGCTTTAGGTGGCGTTCTGCTTAAAACGCAACCCGCCTGCATTCGCGGTCATTCGGTTGTGATTAACCTATAACTCAAATGAATTAGAGAACGAGTACTTATTATTGTCAACTAACAATACTAGCCAAATCCGCATTTACAATAGCTTTTACTATTCAATATAATTCTGGCATGTAGTCCTTCTTGACCATTTGTTTTGGACTGAGCGTTCCAGATCTTTCTACTCGCGACTGAACCTTTTTAACGTGGTTATCTTCATAGATAACATGATCTATCAGATGATCATCTCGCAAAATATTTAAATAGTTACATGCATAATAAGGTATTATCTAGATAATTCCATAGACCTAGATTTTCTATTTATAACTGGCATTCTTTTAACAACCTTGAACTATAAAGGTGTAACAATATTCATTTAGTCTATCATGTATTTTTCAGGGATTTGTCGCACGACCAATGAAAAATCCAGACGGTACGCTGAATCTGATGAGCTGGGAATGTGCGATACCTGGCAAAAAATCCGTAAGTTTTAAATAAGATGATAATTGATTGTCAAATATACATTTTTCTTATTTGCTTGTAGACTCCATGGGAAGGTGGCTTGTACAAATTACGAATGATCTTCAAAGATGATTATCCTTCCACTCCACCAAAATGTAAATTTGAACCACCTCTTTTCCATCCCAATGTTTACCCATCAGGCACTGTTTGTTTGTCGCTGCTGGATGAAGAAAAAGACTGGAGGCCTGCCATCACGATTAAACAAATTTTACTTGGTATCCAAGACCTCCTAAATGAACCAAATGTAAAAGATCCTGCTCAAGCAGAAGCATACACAATTTACTGGTAAGTAAATCATACTTATTTTGATCATTTAATTTAAAACTTATCCAATGAATTGTAAACTAATGAAATTATAATTGTTGTAGCCAAAATCGTTTAGAGTATGAGAAACGAGTGAGGGCTCAAGCTAGAGCAATGGCGCAACAAGAATAAATGGTAATTTTATGTAAAGATATCAATTTGCTGCAAACAACTGGCAGTTTCCTACAAGATTTATACTTGGTACTTCTTCCTCTGCATGAATCTATTCCAGATCAAGACAACTTGTCAAATTATGTGAAAGGCTGAATTAAAGAACATTTTTAGTTTAATACTAAATCATTTGAATCTAAAGACTCTTTATGTTTGTATCGAGATAAGATGTAAACGAAATGTGAACAGCTCTTGAGCAAATATCATGATTTTCATTAGTTAGACAAGAGCTCGCTGGTTTTTGAGAAAAAATGAAACATCGTTTATTGAGGCGAATCAATGTTGTTGAATGGATTCTCTGAAAAATCAACTCACAAACTGAGATAAATTTATGCAAGTCCATTGGTTGTACAATTTTGACTTTTTTGAATGTTTAATTTTCTCTCTGAGTCAGTGTTTTTCATTTTTGTAATTTTAGGCAAAAGTATTTTTTTATAATTATAAAACCTTAATATTAATAAATACCATATAATGAGTAATAAAGTAATGTATTATATAGTGATAATTCTTTGTCGAGCTCATTTTGAAATTCTGTCCATCATCAGAGTTTGAAAATTGAATGAATGATATGGCTTAATGTAGTATACGTCTTGGCGAACGGCTAAATGTAAAAAGTCATTAGTCAAATAGCTTCTGGCAGAAGTTCAAGACATTATAATGTGCTGCTCCGCCGGCGTGGCAACGGTCACGCACGGCCCGTAGTTGTAAAATAGCCCCGCGAAACCTGATCGATCATTTTTTTTCCTCTTTAATGATATATAATTATTAAAAGCGCGCAGGGGGTCAAGAACCTTTCTATCCTCAAAGAATTTCCGAGACGATTGCGAGTCAAGTAATAAAGCGCCGGTTCCCGATCGGAGCTTTTATTCGCTAGTTGTCGCTCGACGAGGCAAGAGCTTGCGCGCAGAGCTGCGAGCAACAGTTACGATATATCGGCGGATCGCAGCAGGACAAAACTGAATTCCAAGCGCATCGATATATATTTATAATTCGCGACTTTTCGATATCGAAAACTTGCGTGCGTGTTCGGGCGGAGTTTGCGCAGAGATATATCTCCCTCCCAAACTTGACGTCCCCGCGAGCCCCTTATGGTGCAGCAGCAACAGCAGCTGTAGGCGCCGTAACAATTGACGCAAGAGTGTATCGAGCTTGTTTCGTGTGTGTTGTGCACTGTGCATTGCCCGTAGTACATATAGGTGTGTGCGTGTGCGACTGTGTCGAAGCGACTAGCGAGCGATAAAGGGTCGGGGAAGAGCGAGAAAGAGAGAGAGAGAGAGAGAGAGAGAAGCGAAGGAGGAACGACGACGAGTCGACGACAACAACAATAACAAGTGCGCGCCTGGACGCCAGTCGAGTGCACAGCAGCAGTAGCATTAGCAGCAGCAGTCAGTGTCAGTGGAGCGCGCTCGTATAGTACCACTACACTACTGGATATATTATTCGATCGAGTACATTAATTGTTGTTTGGTGATATAATATAAATGGCGACGTACAAACTGCAGCGGCTCGACGCCGCTCTGCTAGGGCTGTGCTTGCACGGGGTCGCCGTGTCCTATTACGCCTACTTGGTCGAGACGAACAAGGAGAAGGACGACGACTATCAGCCGCTCTGCGACATCAGCGAGCACTTCAGCTGCACCAAGGCCTTCATGTCCGAGTGAGTCTTCTTATGTCGTTCGTGCGCTGTCATAATATACACTTATGTTGTTGTGTACATCGAGCGAGATGCATCGACGATGGGCCCGCGCGAGGATCCCCCCTTTGTTTTCCAAGCGCCAAGCGAGAAAACAACAGATCGATCGATCGCTCGGCTTCTTTTTTTTTCTCGCTCTCCGTGTCATGCATAATCGAGCGCCTATGCTATAACACGCAAGCTCGCAATCAAGGTTACCCAACGTCGATTCGCGAGTGCACCACGTAGGTACATAGGAAAATCGATCGCGGCTGTCTCTCTCTCTCTCTCCCTCACGGCCCGCGCGTCTCTCTTAATGTATAATGCACCTCTTTGCTCTTGGCCTCCTGTGCGGCCGTACGGTACACGATCATCCTCCGCTTGCTTGCGCACTCGGAGTTCATTAATGTTGCATTGTTTGACGCGCGCTTCGCGTTCGAAAAATCACCCACACCCGGCTTCGTTGCTCGAGACGAAGAACTCGAACGTTCTTGATTTTGGAATTTTTCTGTGATACGTGACTCGGATGGAACTGGTCAAATTTTCGCCTTACATACGAGCGCAAAAATTCAATCAACTTGATGTATGTATCAATGTTCATTAAGAGCCGCAGCTTGTAATCTTATCGATGAAATATTTTCGTTGCTTGCCCCGCGCGCGCGCAAAAAAAAACAACACACTCGGACGCTCGCACACGAATCGGCCTTTTATCCGTTTTATTTTCGTATCTTTTTCTCTCTCTGGTCGCTCATAAAAATAATCCGCATTAATCTCTCTCGCGTTTCGAGCCACGAGAGAGTGTAAAAAAACGCGTATTATTAAATGTATAATAAACTCCCGCGCGCGGGTTTATTTTGAAATGTTTGATATCTATACACAATATATCGGGTCGCCGACGAGAGAGGCCAAGAGAGAGCAGATTTTATATGTTTTTTATTCAATTTTTCAATGACAACTTCAGCTAACGAAAGAAAATTCAGAAGTTCGTCCGAAGCTCATATTTTTCGCGCGATGAGTAATGGATCATACTTACTTATGTATCTATTAAAAGTTATCTTATCGAAGCAAAAACAAAACACGAGTTCTCTCGTGTTCAAACAAGAAATTCAAGTATGACAATTATGGAATTTTCGAAGGTTCGGCAAGGGATTCGGCCTGATTCCCAAGGACTCGTCGTTTTACCTGCCCAACAGCATATTCGGCATCGTCTTCTACACGATCGTTGCCTCGCTCAGTAAGTATATCATCATAAAGATATACATGAATCGAACCGGCTCGAGTTGATGATTTTACCCCTATGTCTACGCAGGCCTGTTCAATCACTACTGGAACACGCTGCTCATGCTGGCGGCCACCGTGCTCGCGAACAGTTTCTCCATCTATCTCGCCTATGTGCTGTATCTGCTCAAGGACGTGTGCCTCGTGTGCGTCACCACGTACATCATCAACGCGATTCTGCTGGTGCTCTCGGCGAAGAAGCTGGGCGAGATCAAGCAGGCGCAGCTGGCCAAGAAAAAGAAGAGCAAGTGAGGAGGAGAAGAGAAAGAGGCGCATCTCCATACACAGCGACAAAACGAGCCATTTCCCTTCTTATACGCTCTCTCTCTCTCCGCAGCTCGCTGCTGCAATTATTGACGCTTCATTTCATTTTCTATCGACGTTATTAAACCGTGTACATATTAAATATACGCGCCTTCGTTACACATATACACACATAACACACAGCTCCTTCTCTCTGTCTTTCTTTATTTCTATCTCACTCGCGCCGTCGATTTTTTGCTGCTTTTAAAAATAACTCGTAAATAAAAACGCATTTAAAACGGAAATGCCTGTATCGACGATCGACGCAACAACGGTCGTCGTCGTCGCGCTTCTCTAATATGCTCCAGTGCTGTGCTTACATTTTAAGAACTCTAGCATCGTAGGGACGAAATTTATAAATGATATATTATACAATGAAATTATATACAATCACCGTTCGATAAAAGTACCTTTATTTTTTATTGTAAAATATATATTATATACCTAAAACGAAACTTGACTATTTTTCGTTTATCTTTGCTTATTATATATAAAAAAAAATTTAAGGAAGAAGAAATAAACCTGTAAGATTTTATTCATTGTTAATACTTTGCGCACGTGTTAATTTTTGTAAGGTCAGTACAACGTATAGTAGCTTGTAGTAACGGTTAGACATATTATTATATTATAAAAATAGACTGTTCTATTGGTATAATGTAAACGAAAAACACACACTTAAAGAAATTATTATCGATCTCCGATTTGCGCATAGATTGATAGATTAATCAATTGCACAGTTGTACATTATATCGTGGTTATACAATACGTACACACATACACGCATAATTATACAAACGTAGTCTCTGTGATTTTTCGTGTAGTCTGTATATCGACGTTATTAGCGTAAATCTGTCAAGCCTCATACGCGTCGCGCGTACCGACGAACAAACATACAAAAAATGAACGAATCAATTTTTACAATCTCACGAAACGCATAATACAAAAAGGAAAATATTATAAACCAAGTGTACAATGTATTGTACAAATTTAAACAAAAAAGTGAAAGATGAAAACTTACAAAGCCTAATGATATATATTCTATATGTAATATTATTATTTTTCAAAAAAAAAAAAGAGAGAATCTTGTTCTCGACACAAAATATATAAAATAAAAATTGAATTAAACAACACGACTTTTTTATAATTATTATTATATAAGCTCGAATATTCTTTATGACAAAAAAAAGAAGAGTTTATCATTAATATATAAAATATAAAATTATATTGTCAACAAGTCTCAAGTGTTTCATAAAATTTCTCAAGTAAGGATAAAAACGAAGTCTTTTTCTAATCTGTGGTGTACTCAAACGATGTGCGTATAGAATATTATATATTTACGTATACAGTAATAAAAATTTCATGCATCTTGCCTAATTACATCCGAGAGGCATTTCGTTATTTTGTCAACCATGTCACATTTAACAAAGCTTTAACAAAGACATGCATATTGCAGTATGTATGTATAAGTTATATATGGCAATTTTTTATTCATTCAACAATATATTATATTATATGGGTAAGTAGTAGTATACTCGACGTGCAAATTAACTTACAGTGAAAAAAAGTTCTTGAAATCGCTCAAAATTTCAATCTATAGGATAATATAACATTAAATTTTAACGCAAGTATTTCTGGTGGCCCAGTTGGGAAGCTGGTCGCGATTGCGACTGTTCAAGCTCGACAAGAGGCCCGGACTCTTGAGGGGAGCCGTCTCGCCCAGTTTGTTCAACGGCCTGGGGGGTTTGGCCACGACCGCGGGTCCGCTGTTGCTGCTGTTGCTGGTGTTGGTGGTGACCGTCACCTTGGCCGCAGTGCTGTTGCTCCGACTTATGTTGGAGCTGCTGCTCGTGGTCGTGGTCGTGGTGGTGCTGCTACTACTGTTGATCACTTTGCTGCCGTTGCTCTTGGATCGTTCCAACGAATCGGTTTCGTCGTCGCGCTTCGCGTTGTTGTTATTTATATTGATGAATTTGTCGCTGGTAAAGCCGGCGCTCTTGGGCGCACTGACCAGGCCGTCGTCGGCGATCTCGACGTTGAAGCTCTTGCTCCTCGACAGGGTGGACTTGTAGATTTTGTCCTTGGCCGGCGATGGTGGCGGCTCGGTGCTGATGGTCTTCTGGACGAAGTGCGTGGTGGTGGTCTTGGGCGGACTGACGTTGTTGCGAAACGATATATTGACCATGCTGCCGTACCTCTTGGTCGGCTGTTGTTGCTGCTGTTCCTGGGAGAAAGACTCGAACCTACGACTACTGCTCGAGGCTTGTTGGCGTTGTTTAGAGGAGGAGTTGTTGTTGGTCGAGGATAGGTTCGTGCTCGAGGCGTGATGGTGGATCTTGCGGGGCAGCGTCTGGGAGCTGTTGCTGTACGAGGACGACGTGGTGGTCATGGTCTCGCTGGCCAAGCGACTCGTGGACTTGCTCAGGCGACCGAGTGTGCTGGAACCGCCACCACTGAAAAATTTCAAGCAGAAACTTCCGATGTCTCGGGCGTATTTGTCTTACACACGGCATTTTTTACAGCTCGCATTCAAGTACACTTGTCAAGCAGTTTTTTTATTGTATTATTATACATACAGCGGTTATGAGTAGAGGCAGCATTATTATTTTATACGGCGAATTTACATTTATACACATTTATACACAACGCACAAAGAGAGAAAGAGACCTGGTCTACTATAATACAGTTTTTAGCATATGTCCATGAACACATAAAGATATTACGATACACACATATACTTATTAATGAACGAATTTTTTTTAAAGAATATTAGTGAACGGGTTAATCAACTCAGCACAGTAAGTTTGGTTTATAACAAGTAAGTTTTGTAAAAACAAAAAGCAACATTATATGATACATCGAGGTAATGTAGATAAAGGTGAAAAAGTCAAGGTAATCGATTGTTTTTGCAACTTATCAGTTTTTTTATTGAACAAAATTCTGAAAAAAAACCAGAGTGATACAATTTTCAGTTACTTATTATTATCTTTTTTTCCTTTTTTTTTTTTAATGTAAATTCTTTGTTATCATTTCGTTTAAAAAAATTGAAAATAGACTCACGTGTACCGTCAATATGTACATTTCTGTTATTATGTATATCGTATACTTATATAAAAAAGTACCGTTAACGATTATGATAAAGGTAAAAATAAAATAACGTGTGCGGTACAGGAATATATACATTGTATTTTCTGCATAAATATATATCTCTTGTCCGCAGGCACACAGAATTTGCTTTTTATTATATCGAAAAATTATTAATTCATTTTACTTGCGATACTCTATTGGCTCTTATGATAGCTGTTGAATAACATGGAAATAAAAAAAAACAATGGTTAAAATATCTCTTGTCTTAAATAATATGTAAAAATGAAACCCATTGGCGTGGATCGCTTGATCGATCGATATTTTACCAACTAACTTATTTGTTATAATAATAAAATAAAAGTTCTTTCTACTTGGTGAGATATAAGAGAGAATAATGGAAATCTATGTCGAGGCACTACATGCTTACAGGCAAATGATTAGGCAAATGTGTAATGTAAAACTAATTATGGATAAAAAAAAAGGTAAGAGTAATCTAAGGTAACGATCATTATATGTAATAATAATGTACGTACACAATGTCCTCGATAAAAAAAAAAAAAAATAGTAGATATTACAAAAAGCCAAAACTCGACAGATACAGGACCACACGAGAGAAATAACCCACATAATGATAGGCGATCGGTAATTCATACATTCGATGGACACATCTACGATCTAATAATAGAAGACAGAGCATATAGGTGGGTAGAGGTGTGGGGAGTCAGTACCTGTACTGATCATCGGCGTTGCTTCTGCCCCGATGATGATGGACTCTGCTGTTGCTGGCCTCTTTGCTGTAGGCCTTCTTCTTCTCGTACACGTTGCCGTAGGGATCCTCGCCGAGGTAGTATCTGTGCAGCGGCGGCTGCTGCTGCTCGTGCCTCGCCTCGCTCGTCCTGTGGTACTCCTGACTCGGCCGCGACACGATCTCGACCCTGGGACTGGCCGATCGGCCGTTGTTGTAGTCCGGCCTGGGCAAGCTGGTCTCGCTGCTGCGCTCGTACGAGTACTTGGACTCGCGGTAGTCCTGCTTCGGAGCTGCCACCGGGACCGTCGTCGTCTTGGTCGACTCGAGCCGATCGTACTTGCTGGCGGACTCGCGACGATCGAGCCGACGGATCGGAGTCGCGTACTCGGGTACTTTGGGACTGGGCGAGCCGCGGGGATACCTCGAGCTCTCGCGAGGCTCGTATCTGTTGCTGTCGATCCTGTCCTCGCTGCTTCGCGCGACTCTGGACGACTCGCGATAATCCGCAGCTCGGTGTTTGGGACTCGGACTTCTGATCCTGTCGAGTCGCTGATTGTTGATCTCGTTGCGCTCGTAGCGAGCCTCCCTGTAGGTTGACTCGTGGCGAGGTGGGCTCGGGCTCCTCCTCGCGTAGTCGTTGCTGTGGACTTCCCTGTAAGGCGACGGCTCGTGTCTCGGGCTCGGGCTGCTGATCTTGTCGAGTCGCGACTGGCTGGAATTTTTCATCTCGCTGCGCTCGTACCTGGCCTCCCTGTACGAGGACTCGTGACGCGCAGGACTCGGACTCCTGACGTAGTCGACCTTTGGAATGTTCGCGACCACTGGCTCTCGGTAGGACTCGTGTCTCGGGCTGGGGCTCCTCACGTAATCGACCTTAGGCACGCTGTTGCTGCTCATCTCGCTTCTCTCGTACCTGGCCTCGCGATAAGCCTCGTGCCTCGGGCTCGGGCTTCTCATTCTGTCCAATCTCTGCTGCTCGCTACGATCGTATCTGGCCTCGCGGAACGACTCCGAGTGCCGAGGACTCGGGCTCCTCCTCGTCAGCTGATCGACCTTGGTCTCGCGATAAGAGTCGTGCCTGGCCGGGCTGTTGCGGGAGTAATCGACCACCCCCCTGGGAGCGGCGGAACTCGTCATCTCGCTCCTCTCGAAACGCGACTCCTTGTAGGACTCGTGGTGTCGGGAGCCGCTGCCGCTGCCCACAGGGCTCGGGCTGCGAATGTAGTCGACTCGGGGACTCGGGCTTCTGTACTTGGCGTCGCGCTTCATCGAGTCCTTGGACGAATTGACGTTGACGGTGGTCACTCCGGCGGGGACGCGAGGCGACTTGGGCAGCCTGTCGGGATGCGGCTTGCGCAACGAGCCGTCCTCGTAGTAGCTGCCGAGCGGCACGTTGCGATCGACGCTGTTGTATTGAAGGTAAGAGCCCTCGTCGGCTTCTCGGGAGCCGCTTCCGTTGTGATGATTGTTGCTGTTGTTGTTGTTGTTGCTCGAGCGTTTGCCATTGGAAGTGGATGTCGCCTTGCGCTCGCTACTGCCCGAGCGCAGCTTTCCCACGAGTTTGCGGAACGACTCGCCGAATTTGGATTTCGGGCTGGGAGCTGGCGATGCGAGAAATAAAAATACAATTAGTTAACGTTCATATGACTCAGCTATGGTCGACTATTGTAACAATACTCACATTTGGTCGGTCTGTGATCGCGCGGACTGGGCGACCTCGACTCCGGACTGGCTCTCTGGCGCGTCGCTCTGTCGGGGCTCTCGTCGTATCTCTTGGGGGTGGCGCGACGCTCGACGCTGGCCCTCCTCCTGTTGTTGCTGTCGCCGCTGCGTCGCTCGTCGCGGCTGCGCGACTCCCAGGTGCGCTGGACAAAGTTCACGGGGCTGTTCACACGGTGGTGCGACGACGACGAGGTGGACACCGGCACCGGCACGACCTGCACGGGGCTGGCGGTGCGCTCGCGGATCACCTGCACCGGTGGACTCTGACGATCGGCCGAGCCGCGACGTGGACGCGGTGGCAGTGTGGAGCCCGAGTCGACCACGTTGTGTTGGCTGTAGCTGCGCTGCTCCGACCGCATCATCTGCATGTAACAATTTGATAAATTAGATGCAACGTCGAAGCCTGATTTGACTGAGGAAATGGAAGATGAAAAACTGAAGTATAATAAAAAAAAAACAAACAATAGTAATTCAAGTGAATGAATAAATTAAACTTTTATTTTACTTTCACTATTTAATACAGTTATATTTCGAAGAGCTTTTGAAGCTTAACCAACAGTACAAAGTTATTATTGTTCTTATAATAATTTTTTTTTCTGAGTTGCAGTTATTTTTACGATTGCGAAATTTTATCATCACATGGGTCTTAGGTTGCCAAACAAATATTCATCAATTCTTTGTTTTTCAGTTGGTCGATGATCATTTCGCAGCATACTATCGGCATACGGTAGCTGCTCGTAAGGGTCAATAGAAATTCCAGCGCCCATTGTCGGCAAAATCCTCTCGCTAGTATCTCGCACAGATGCTCGGCACAAGCATAGCGAGACTTTTCGGACAGAGATATAAAATCATCCATGCTGGTGAGCAAGAAGTAGTCCATATACGTGACTTGCTCTTCCGCCTCTTCGGGTTGTAACTCCATCAGGTCGCGAAGCAACAGCTTCGGATCATCCTCTCTTATCATAATCTCTTTCACTTCGTCCTTGAACTCTTCGCCATTATAATGTTCTTCATTATCCACCCACGTCTGGAAATATCGATTCGAAGCGAAAAATGTCATGATCGTCAAAGCGTCGCTTCGGTTCAACTCGTATCCTGCCTCTTCAAGATTTTCGACGATGGCAAGCAGGCCAGACGATAGCTTTATTTTACAATCGTCGCACTGCAAACCTTGTCCCTCGTTGAAAAAACTCGCAGTGGGGAAAACGAAGCTAGACAAGTCGGCGCCATGATACAAGAGTGCTTTGACTGCATCCGGCAAAAAAGTCACCACAGCCCACTGTAAAGGTGTCCGACCCAAATTGTCTTGAGCGTCGATCTGCACCGTCTTTTGGACTTGGTCGCAGATCTCGAGAAATTCCTTCACCGATCCGTCGTCATCGTCTGTTTTGCAAATAACATGCAAAGGTGTCAATCCCTTTAGATTCGTTGCAGTTGGATCTGCGCCTCTTCTCAGCAGAAATTTTGCCACCTCCATGTGCTGGTGGAACAGAGCTGTGTGCAATGGTGTATTACCCTCATTGTCCCGGGCTTCAATTTGCACCGACTGATGTTGCTCGTCGCTGATATTGAATAGCATCTTAATCAAGTCGTCGGTGTAGCAGTTTTTGCTAATAATGTGCAGAGGAGTCAATCCGTCCTCGTCAGCCAAATTCGGGTTGGCACCTCGTCGTAGCAGTCCTTCTCCCGAGTTCTTGTCACAGTAAGAGCCATAATGCTGGAAGGCCAAGTGCAATGGCGTTTTACCCATCTTGTCCTGGACGTTGATCTGAACCGTCTGCTGGATGTCTTCAATGGTCTTGAAGAATAGCTCTGCCAAGCCACAGTTGTAGCTTCTGTTGTAAATAAAGTGCAGAGATGTCCATCCCTTTGCATTAGATAATTTCGGATCGCGCCTCTTCTAAGCAAAAATTTGGCGGCCGTTTCATTGCCGTGGTCTAGAGCTAATAGCAATGGCGTGTTACCTAAATTGTCTCGGGCATCGACCTGTACTGTCTGCTGTGTTTTGTCGATTATCTTGAAAAATATTTTCACTAAGTCATCATTCTTGTATCTGTCGCAAATACTGTGCAGAGGAGTCATCCCTTGTTTATTGGTTGAATTCGGATTAATCCCACTTCTTAACAGCAATTCAGCCACTTTTCTTGACGAAGTCAAATGCAGCGCAGAGTCACCTGTGTCTGACCAGAGGCAATTGGGATCCTGGCCGAACTCGAGGAATTTTCGCACGACTTTGTAGCAGTCATACTTGCAGGCGATGTGAAAGTGCGTCAATCCCGACTCGTCGGTGTAATTCACGTCGAATCTGTTGTATATTTGAAACAAATAATGGGCCCATTGGCCGGGCTTTATACGATCTTCGTGAGGAAACCATGTTTTACCCAGCTGATGCACTGGTGTGGTGCGATGCGACGATGGCTTGTTGTCGTTGAGTATCACGGGCTCGTCCCTGTAGCCGGTCTTAATTGCAAATTCGACGAGATTTCCTCTTGTGTTTTTATAATTCCTCAAATCCTCCGTGAGAAGCCAATCCATCTTTTCCCGCCCAAAAATGCCTCGCAGGTCAGGAAGATGACGTCTCCAATGTCTGAACAAGGGATAAAGTTGTTCGAGGAATTCGCGTCGCTCTTTTTCCATCTCCCAATTGATCGTTTGCGGTAAGCTCTTCAATTTCGCCAACATGAGTTGACCATAGTATTTCTTGTTTCCGTAATCATGTTCGTCACTGTAGTCGACGCTTTCGTCGCTATCGATATCGAAAACATAGAATCCGTCGTCGAAGGAGGGCATGTTTTATTTTTCGCACTCACGCACAACACACGATCGTTAATATGAGTTAAAAATGTTTAATTTAGAACGAGAGTCACTTGTTGCACACTCGAGAGTCGAGTCGATCTTCCTTTGTTGTTTGCACTGTGGCGTCGTAACGTGTTCTGACTACTTATGAGAAGCGCGAACTATGCACCGCTGTAAGGTTTTGTCGTAATGGACCAAACTGCTCGTACGAACACGCACGGAATGAGCAGGACAGAGTTAACAACATGCCGGCTGGCGCTGCTGCAATGGACGTTGCAAAGGGCAGAGTTCGCGCGCTGCTATAACCGCCAGTCGCAGTAGAGGGGAGCAGGCGGAAAGATAATCGGCCAATAGCAACCACCCGATTTATAAATGCTCCTGAATCTCGTAAGTAGTCCTTAAAGGTATACTAAAAACTTTACTTGACTCATGATTAAACGACAAGTTCTGTACTTCAAAAGAAGAGCAACTCGTTAGTTCGAATATACGTAAAATCTAGGCGTTATATTAAGGTAAATTCAAATAAATCTCCGTTGTTCGCACCCACGCGTCACGTGCAAACTAGAGAAATATATAATGGCATTGTAACGGGCTTACAGCATGGATATTACGTTCGTAAGGTGAGAAATTCGAGATGGCTCGAGATCGCGGAACATCGTATAATGATGAAACATCAATATAATGACGATGACCGTGAAACTGCAGCCGCTAAATAATCTGACCAATTAGAGTGGTTTTATTGGGTTTCTCTTTAAACTTCTCTACACGTAAAATCCGAAGACTCATAAATCTCAATATTATGCAAGCGCGAGCATAATTACTATCGATCCGCCGAATGTACCTTACATGTTGGATATGATGTCATCGTGCAAGCGCTGACTTTCGGAGTTAACAAAGCGAGATTAAGGACTACCGCGAAAATGCATGAAAAGACGCATTACGAGATATAAGTCAAGCTTATATCTCGTAATGTAGGTAAAATGATACATACCTGTTCTTTCATTGCCTTGCGTCTTTGCGGTGGCGAAGGTGTGCGCTCCTCGGCGACGAGCCTCTGCGGCGGCGAGTATCTCTCCGGATGCGGCGGTTTTCTCGACTCGTAGTTGCTGCTGCTGCTCACGTACTCCTGCTGCTGTTTGCTGCTGCTCTGATGATGATGCTGACTCGTTGGTGGCGGCGGCGGCGAGTGGCGACCGTTGACGCGCTGAACCGTCGATTCTACGTAGTATGGCACGGGCGACGCTTTCGTCTGCGTCAGGCTTTGCTTCTCTGCAGGGGGGAGATGAGAAAAATTTGGTGATTCGATTAGGTTCGTTGTTTCGACGAACTACATAATTGGATGCATCAACAAGGAAAACTTTTTCTTTTCGCTGCAGAGAATTTTTTTCAGTTTTACTCTCATTTCTGACGCCTTTTTTAATGACCGAGTTAATTTTGCAGAATTACAATGACGTAATCTCTAGAAGTTATTGTTATCATTTTTAGAGCAAGTTAAATAATTGTTACGATGAATTCAGTGAAGCCGAGTTATGCTTGCTTTGTTTTTAGTGTTATATAGAATTGTTAATCGATGAAAAAGTAATTTAATATAAAATAACAAAATGTTTGCGAATAGACGAATCAGTTTTTCGAAATACACGCGTTTAATTACGGATCCAAAAATTTTCCTTGCAACGTATGTATGATGTAATACGTGTTTTAAGGGAGAGGGGGGGGGGGGCGATAATTTGTTTGTTTGTTCTTTTGCGCACCGATTGATTGGTATCTTTCGGACCACTCGCTGATCCCCTGGAAGAAACCGCCTCCTCCTCCTCCTGCTTTGTTTGTTGAGACTTTGGCGTTGTTGTTGTTGTGGTTCTTGACGACGTTTTGCTCCTTGCTCGTGGACGTCTTGACCTCGACACTGGCTACGTTGTTGGACTTCATGGTGACGTTGATGAAGCTCGTGTTATTGTTACTATTACTACTGGCTCTGTCTTTGGCTGCTGATTTGAGGACGTCTACGTCCTCCTCCTCGTCGAATTCGCTCGACGATCTCGACTCGCTGCCGAAGTGGCTCTCGAGCCACTTGGACGTCTCGAATTTGCGCGCCACGTTCTCGTTCTGACTGCTCTCCGTGACGACTTCTATGACTTTTTTGTGCAGGCCACCGTTGCTGCTGCTATGATGGTGGTTGTTGTTGATTCTGTGCTTGAGGTTGTTGTTATTGTTGCTGTTGTTGTTGAGGATCGAGTGATTCGGTGGTACGCTAGGCGGCGGCGGTCCACAACTCGACGTTATGCCTGGGTAGTTATCAAGTTATTTTTCAGGGGACACATTATACAATTTTTGATTGATACGCATAAACAACACACCGAGACAGACATTTAACTACGAGGGGACACACAATTGGACAGCAACGACACTGTAACACTACTGACCTACATAATAAAAATGACACACACACGCGCGGCAGAGAGGCTGTGGATTTGACAGCCACGCTCACTTTCTATATAATAAATATACAGAGACTCGAGAGAGAGGAAGAGAATCGGAATTTCATTATCGAGCATAATATTCGGATTATACAGATTGCAAATGTTCGTTCTCGTATATTATTACATGTTACGTTATATTACTGCGGATCGGATCTTGTCAATAAATATATGTGAAAGCCAATTCGTTAAATAAGACGATATAATTAGTAAATTTAGTTGTATGCTCGGTAGTATAAGTAAGTATAAATTCGCGCGAATTATTTATTATTATTATTGCGTGGTGAAATTTTGCTAGTCCAGAGAGTTATATTATTATTATTACTGATTGAGTAAAAAGAGGAAATTAATAATGCGCATATCCGATTCATATCATTGGCTCACCATTCTTGTAGAGTCGATCCTGTTGACTGGCGCTTCTCAATCCGGAAAAGGTCTGCTGATCCTCGGCCGACTGGCCCGGCCAGTCGCCGGTGCGCTCGGCTTCGGTGCTCTCGGAGACGTAGCGCATCTCGCGGCCCAGCCGCTCGCCCGTGCTCGCCGACACGTAGTCCACGAGGTCCTCGTCGCGGCGCTTGAGGTAGCGCTGCGTGGCCTCCTTGCGATACAGCTCCTTGTCGCCGCAGTCCTCGATCGCCGCCTCGCCGTCGTAGTCTTCGGGCGCCTCGTCGTCCTTGATCTGAAGCAGCAGCCCCAGCAGAAGAGAGAATATTTAGCACACCCAGACAGAGAGACGCATTCGAGATATCGATTGGAAAGTTACGGTATATAATACGAGAGAGTCCGAGAAAAGATCTTTCTCGGCGAGCTGCCGCCGCCGCGATGTCTCGCGTCCGATTTTTTATCAGCACGTGTGTGTACGCGCGGCGGTTTTGTTATATACGGCCAACTTTCATTCTGTTAAATTACGCGTAGATATATATGTACAGCAATACGTTTTCCTCGCGTCGATCAAAGAAAGGCGATCGATCATTAGGCATTTCCTATATGATTTATCCTTGCGGTCGGGCGGGCGGTTTATAACGAGCTCGCCTACTTTTCTGTGTCTCTAATTTTTTGTGCGCGAGTCGCGCGCACATTGTTATCCACGCGCGAGCGGGCGTGAAAAGCGAAAAGCATCTGTATATACTGCGGAGCTTTCGACGGCGCGTGTACAGTGGACCGGTTTCTATCGTCGTCGTCGCGCGCACGAATACACATCGCGATAAATATAATAATACAAGTTCCGCTCATCGATGCCTCGATATTCTAGATAATGCGTAATTAGCGACACTCGATATATTATGTTTAACGGAGGTGCAGTTTACGCACGTGTATATTATTTTATTTACAGTCGTTGTCATGCTCAACATCGAAAAGCACTTAAGCATCAGCAGCTGCGCGCGGATCGTTGCGGCGATGACGAACACGCGCGCGCAGATATATATACAATAATAATTATTTCGGGCCATAAATTCGTGCGTATAGTGCTGGCTCAGTCTCGAGCCGCAGCCAGCCAGGCCTAATTATGCGAGTAATCTCCGGGCATATAAAAGCTTGAATAAAAAATGGAGCTAACGCGTATAAATGCCTGGCTCGATATTTATAACAAATCGATTCATTCCATTTCCAATGTTATATAGTACTCGATATCGATGCGTTACGAAAATTACACTATGTAATGCAGCAAAGAACAATAGACGTAAAACGTCTATACACGAGAGAGAGAGAGAGAGAGAGAGAGAGAGAAAGAATTTTCTAATGATGCGATGCTCGCGAGATTACGATATATTTATATATGCGCTGCAGCTTCCCACGCGCGCGCGCGTCATGCATATGATATTATTATATAGGATACAAATTCAATGGAAAATCACAAGGCATTGCACGAGCGTCGCGTGTTCCTCGCCGCATATAATAATAATAATAATAAAAAAAAATAATAATAATAATATAATAATAATAACGCGGAGCCGCAGTACCTAATACTACTCGATTGGAAAATGTTTGCCTATCGTTACGCAAGCTCGAGGCTCCAAGCGGCGGTGGTGGCTGCCATGCCATGGTGTGCGCGCGGGTTATGACTGCAGCCGGCACACGGCTAAACGTGTATAATAATATAAATAGTTACACATAAGTAAACGCGCTGTAATACAAGGCAATTACAAACGAGACGCGAGCGAGAGAGAGAGAACAAATCAATCGGACATTCTAAAGCTCGTAAAACAATCATCGCGCTGCAGCAGCCGTAGCGTTTCTCCCGCTGCGCGCGATCGTCCGTATGCGATATTGCGATTCTCGTGTTGCAGCCATCCTCTTCGCGGCTTATACAGGATATATCATATGCGATATTGTACACGATGATAATTCAACTAATGTCATCGCGGAGAAAGTGGCTGTGCAGCAGCAGCAGCATACGACAGCTAGGAAACTCTCGCCGCGCACTTATAAGCTCGCTTACGTCTTAGATGCATGAGCTGTGTGATTAATAATTCGAGCGCGACGTTGTTTGTTTGTTCGGCTCGATCTCTGAATATATATGTAACGCAACGACGCAATTAATCTCGTGCGTAAACTATCGAGCGATTAGATTTTTCATTGGCGTTACGCGTGTATTATGCATCGATTATGTGCACTCTTGTTTGTTTTCTTTTTTTTTACGGCTAAAAATCGGATAAAGGTTTTAAATTTGATTACGCGGCTTTTCGATTTTATCAACAGATGGCGTATCGCAAACTCGCAAGTACCAAAACAAATTTCAGATATATATACTAATATGTGGTTGTAGATGGTTAATCTTTTCTTAAAAATTTCAGCCGATAGAATATTTTATACGTGTTGGATATAAGTCACGTAAATAAATGCGCCACATGCGTTCGAAAGTAACTTTGTGACTTCCAAATCCAAGAGTCGCACTGCTAATACTGCAGCTTCGAATATTATAATACCATATTCGAAGCTCTCTTTCTCGCGTGCAAGCTACAAATATGCATAACATTTGGCAGTCTCGCTCTCGATCGCGACAAAAGGGAAAGTCCCATTTATTACAACGTATGTGCATATTATGTACAGAGCTATAATAAATACACTCACCTCCTCGTGCTCGACGGTGGTCTTTCTCTCGGTAACGATCTGTCCCTCGGGCTTGAGCTCGCTGCGCTCCAGCGTCTTCTCCGTGTCGATGACCTTGTTGGACCTCGTGGTGTGGGCCAGCACCCTGGGACCCTTGCTCAGGCCGCTCGTCTCGGCCAGCTGCCGTCTCGACTCGGCCAAGGCCAGTCTGATGTCGCCGTCGCGATTGTTACGCACCGCTCGCAGGTACGCCTGTGAACACAGTGACAACGATTTCGATTCGATAAGAGCTGAACTCTCGAGTACACTACTATTTGCCGGCACAAAACACACACACGCACACACGCGATATCGCGCGAAGTAGTCGCGTGCGCCGCTCGAAACGAAATGAGCGTCGCGGCGCGGAATGAAGCCTTTATCGCTGATGCCAATGTATATAAGTAAAGTCCGAAAGTTTTTTTTACGATCGTGCGCGCGTGCTCGAGCTATTTCCTCCCGATAAACGAGCGCGCGAGGAATATAACAATCCTCGGCGGCGGTGGCGGCGGCACAGCGCAGAACTCTTATTGTGCGCCGCGCGATGAAAAGAGAGAGAAAGAAAACCGGTCTCGCGCGCACTGCACGCTCGTAAGAATAGGCCGGGCTTATAATATACGCTAGGTTCACGTATAATAATAATATGTAAGAAAAGGATTCGAGCACTGCACTGGACACATCCGAAATTCCACAAGCTCACCCTTTGACGTACACTAAACAGAGGATCCCGATGGATCTAACCCAAAAAATCGGCAGGAAAATCGGCACCGATCGGTCGCTGCAGAGCACGCGCGCGCGGATATAACCTTCGACAAGGCCGTGTCCGCGAGTGGAATGCAGTTGCAGCAGCAGCAGCTGGCAAAGAAGTCGCGCTTAAGAGAGAGAGAGAGTCTGGACGCTGGCTATACTTTCGAGATATATACTGTATATAAGTCGAGCCGGTCGAGATCGGTCGTTCGCCGGTCGTCGCCGGAGTATTGTATATAGCTGTGCTCAGCGCAGCGCCGCGGCAGCAGCAACAGCAACAGCAGAGGTGAAGGGACCAAATTGCTATATAGTACAGTATCGGCCACAGTCTAGCTCCGATACACATACCTGCACTTGGGTGTATAATATACTGTATATATATGATATACTTATGAATATAAGCCGCTGCGCACGTTGGGGTATATCAGATATATGCACGTATATGCACTCGATTACAGGGGGGGAGTAGGGATCTGCTGCAGCTGCAGCGAGAGGATAAACACATGCACCGCACGAGCATCGTGCGCCCGAGCGCATTATAAGCGCGCGGTATATATATAAGAGCGCGATCGCGAGGCCTTAAACTCGGGCGTTTAATAATACGTCGCGCCGCGCAGGGCATTCGTCGGATATATCGGCAGTTCTTTTCTGTTTTTTTTCTGTTTTTTTTTTTTTTTTTATTCGGCTCGCGGAACAAAGGTCGTCGCGCCGAGTTTCAGCGGCAACAGCGACAGGTATGTGCAGTATTGTGATTTCGCGCGCGAGAAAGTCGCGCCGCGCTCATGTGCCTTCCGAAAATTTCCATGTATCGGCGGAAAATCGACTCGCGCGCTGCGCGGGTGAAATCAACGACGACGACGCGCGTTTAAATTCGTTTCTCACGCATTTCTGCCGCCATATAATATATTATGTACACACATGTGTGTGTGTGCTGAGGTGTACGAGACAGGCCCGCACCGCGTCGTACTTTCACTATGATTTTTGCGTACACGCACACGAACGTACGTACGTACGTACAGCTTCAATCTCGAGATCGCGTCTTAGGTACGTAACGTAATGTAGCGAATCGAGCCTCGAAAGCCACGCGTTTTATGATCGAGAGTCGAGTGCGGAGTAGTAGTAGTAGATAGAATATACAGAGGCTTTACGCGCGGCAGCGATTAAATTTCAATTCCCCGAAACGGTATTATCATTCGCGAGTCGAAGAAGAAGGTTATCCCTAGCGTTAGAGAGAGAATAAGAGAAAGAAAAGTCGAGCTTAACGCACAGTCCTGTCTGTATATAGCTCCGATGCATTCCACAATAACTAAGCAGTAGCAGCGGCGTATAAACCCATTCTCGAGATTCGTGCCACTACTACGCTGCTACTCCGCGTGCCGACACCTATATACAGCACTGCACCGCCGCGGCGCACACACATAAATGCAGGAATGCTGCGCTGCGGCGCGGGGCAAAATATAAAAGTTTGCGCGAGTACCGATCGACTGGTGCAGGAGCATATTATAACATTTGGATCGCGAGAGGCACCCGATGCCTATTTCATATACGATTCGAGTGGAGGCTTCTAAATTCGATCTTTGTCGCGTCTTGTTTATTTATTTTACATCGTACTTGTTTTGTTCTGGCTATACATGAGTAACATAGGCAGTTGTCGCGCAAGTGTGGCGCAACAACGAACGAAATTCCCCATCGTTAAATGCTATTATAGATATACGCGGTAAATTCGCTAACGAGCCAGCACACTGGCCTAGTCATCGCCAATGGCGATTCGACATAATTCAACGAGTCCGACGAGTATACGGAGCAAGATCGAGAAGCGATCGCGCTCACTCGCGGCCGCGCTTACAAACGATCGAGACGTCGGAATTGCGAAATTCGCATAAGATTCGCAGCGATCTGGCGTTTATATAATAAAGCAGCTCCCGTTTTTTTCTAGCTAAACAGAACTCTGCCTATAGGAACAAGACATATGGGTTCTCAAATCACACAGCGTTTCACGAGTTATGACCCTTCACGAACGGGCTCCTTAAATCTAAATGCTTTGATCACTTTGATCGCGTGTTCATATTTTGAGCCATCTCGCGTTTGTCATCGAAATTAGTCGGCGACGACGTCTCTCTCGATACATATGATCGTATGTACATCGTGTATGTACAGAGAATTTCGACGAGTTAGCGGGACATTTCCTTCGCTGAAGATGCTGTGTCATAAAAACTGCAATTGTGTCACAGAAGAGACTGATACGACGGCAAAATTCATGTAGCTGGGAGTATTCTTGGACCTGCAAAGTCGAACACTGCGCAATCTAAAAATTACTCCAAAAGGTCACGAGCTGACCACTGACGCGTGACAGTAGCTCAGTTATTATCGGGTTCACTTTGTGGTATAAGGACTATTTACGTAACAATTAATGTAAAACAATAAAAGGAGGTTTTTTCCTCTTCGCAGATGATTTTGATTGCACGAAAACGCATTAAAAGCAATAGCTATTTTAATTAAATTGAGAGATTTGTGTTGATTCACAAACAATTCTTAAAGGTTCAAAAGTTTCTTAGATGCTACGATTGAATCGTATTAATTCAAGTGGTACCGATAATCACGTGATATTTTGCAAATACATATATTGTACAACTTAACTCAACTAGTAATTTCTTCAGAATAGTACTTTGACTTATGCAACTACTTTGACTTTGCTACTTGCAGATTTACAGAAAAGAAGTTACTCGCCACCTAACGGCGGGGATTGACTTTAATTATGATTGAATCATCATAATTTTCGTGTACAAGAAACGCAAAAACTAAATCAGTATTAAAACATTAATTTTCAAGCAGAATGTTTAAATTCGAGTTGAAATGACGTAAGTGCTTGCATTTTCTTACATTTTTTTGTAATTATTATGAAAAAATAATAATAAATCCTCACTGACACATTAACAATCAATCGTTCAACAAAGATTCCACGTAAAAGAACCTTCAAAAAAATCAGTACAAATTACTTTACGCACACCCTCGACGTATCTCAAGTAAGTTTCATTTCAAAAAAGGTTGGCCGCGGCGAAAGCCGGTGCATGTACTTAATATAGGCGTCGAAAGATCTGGTGCACGCATTAGTATGCGACTATCCGCGCACAATAGGAACACGCAGCACACACCTATTTGAGTGTGTGTGTGTGTGTATGTGATATAGGTATATAGGTGTGGGATAGAATAGCTACGCGCTAGCGAACGCGAAAATGAGAGAGAGAGAAATAATAGACCGCGACGAATCGGCAAGTGTGCGAGCTGCATTAAAAAGAATACGTATACAATGCATGCATACTGCGTCGCGTCCCGGCGCGCGATAACGAGATTATAATATTATGATGATTTATTTATTGCGCCGTGCGGTGCTCGGCACGCGAGAATATTTTCCAAGCCAAACCATAGAGAAAGGCGAAGACGACGATGATCATTTTATATATAGATAGAAAGGGGATCACTGCAAAGCTGCTATAATAATGCATACCTCGTCGGAGATGTCACCCATGTGCTGTCGATCCTCGGTCTCAACGCGCTCCTCGACCTCTTCCCGGCTCTTGACCACCGTCTCCTCGAGCTCCTTCTGCACCACCGGGCCGACCGTCTTGACGTTGCTCGGCCAGTCGACTTTCAGCGGCTCGTCGCCGGTCGTGCGTCTCTGCAAAAAAACAAAAACAAAAAAACAGCATACCGATACCGATCAGCGATCACCTTCTTTTACTTCTTCCTCTGAGAGCTGTAAAATGTGTGCGAGTAGCGTACCTCTTGGGTCGTATGCTCCTGCTGCTCGACGTCCTCGGTCGTGTTGGTCGTGACTATGGGCCCGGTGTCGCCGACGACCTCGCCGTCCTCCAGTACGACTTGGCGCTTGACGCGAGTCTCGATCTGCCGCGTCGTCGTGATCTCCTTTTTCTTGCGCGTTTCCCATTCCTCTGCAATAGACAAAAACACATGCACACACACGTGAGGATGGAAATTTAGCTGTACATACACGGTGTACTTGAATCTCATTATAACGAGGAGAGGATCTTTTGTCTACATCTCGTGCTTTCACGTACTTACCTTCCTTAACCGTAGCAACCGAGTTGTCCGGATCGACCTGTAAACCAGCGATACATTATACAGTATGAACGATGCCAAGATGAGTAAATTAAAGACGACAACGAGCATGACAAACTCACTAGAATAGTTGTCGTGTGCGAGTCGCCGGCCGACGGCCGAGCCTCGTATCGACGCGACGAGATCACCTCCATGACGACGATGCTGTTGCTGCTTTCTTCGCGTACTCGCCCAGCTCCACCTCGCTACAGCCTGCTGCGCTCCAGCGGATCCTCGAGCTCTGAAGCATCGGCCTACGCGCCTGCTATTCCAGTGGTCGCTGTTGTCGATGTTGCATCTCGTTGATCCAACGACCGTTGCTGCTGCACCTGCCGACAACAACGAGAGTCAACCGAGTTTTCGACTATGAAATCGGCTTTATATTGTAGACGCGTTGCGCAAAGTCTGTTAAAATGTGTACACGAGTAATGCGCTCGCGTGAAAAGCCTCGAGAGCTACGCGCGCGCGCTTTGTTTGAGCTAACACGATTAATGGGCTGCTGCTGCTTAAGCGGACGATGACAATGGGACATAACGAAGGAGCGATCGTGAAGGGTTGGGAACAAAAAAAAACAACGACAACAACGGCGAAGCAGAAGAATGTCGCGGAGAAAGTTTCTTCATCGCCGGCGTCGTTGCTCGTTGTTGTTGTTGTTTGCTTTTTTGTCGCCGAGAAAGTAAAGTCGTAAAATAATTGCAATAAGAAGAGGACGACGAGAAAAAAAAGGAGCAATACTAATTTGTTGTGGGCACTTCTGCTGCCTCGCGAGCAGATCGGTAATATGCAAATGCGATCGTCCGGCAAGAATCTAACACGACGATATTTATACAATCCAGTCTCTCCTGCTGATCTCTGTTACAGCTGCGGCGGTGATTTTCTCGTTGAAAAGCTCGCGAACTCGCTGCGGCTGATCGACGACGACGAGCCTTTTGCAAATTGACACGACCCAAATACTCTGCACTGCAGCAGGCACGTAGTGCATCGCGTATCTGTGGTATATTACGATATGCAATAATGCCGCCGCCGAGAGAGCAGCAGGTGTGTCTTTTGTAACAAAAAAATAGAGAGAGAGAGAGAGAGAAAAATCCAGCGTCGTCACGCTCCATTAGCATAAGTCGGCGACATAGTAAACACACACACACACGTACACACACAGATAGATCGTTGCACCGAGCGAATCTCGCCATGCGCCATGTAAATGAATGCATATATCCACGCGCAGGTATCGACACTGTTGTGTACCTATACTTGTGAAATCGGTTGGTCGAAACGTCACGAAAAATCATACATGATCGCTGCTGCTGCGGCTGCTCACTATGTGCATACGAGGGGTACATCGTGCATCGAATGCCGTGCCAGCCTTGGACGACGCGACGACGACGTGACTCTTTTGTAAAAGCGACGTCGCGCAGGTATGCATGCAAAATGCCTTTTTTTTTTACATTTTTGCTGTTCCTCGCTCGTATATGCACCGGCGCTACACTATGCAGCGAGTACAAAGTGCACTTTTTTTTCAGCGTAACGGATCGGAGCGATATAAATCGGATTTTTACGCGCGTCCGCCGCCGCCACCTATATAATGTGTCCTTCCCATGGCGTCGCGGCTAGTCGGAAACCTTCGACCCGCCAAACCTACATATAAAAGCATATGTATAAATGCAACGGTCACAAGGATGCGGTGGCATTTTTCGTCCTTGCGCTCTCGCAAAGAGAGACAATCTGAAATTACGCGCGCCTATATAAGTAAGGTAGGATCGCCTGCTGTAAAAGGCATCTTTTGCCGCGCGATGCATGACGTCAGCTGTATATGAGCTTTGGCTTACATATATTCATGCGTCATGTTATACATACATTATATTACACGAATATATATAGCGTATACCTCGTGCACTCCTCGGATATAACAATTTGCCTGCGTAACAATGCGTAAGGATTATTATATGGCCATATACAGCCACTCCTTTGCTACAATAATGCTATACACCAAGCTGCTGCGCTCATACGGTGTATAGTAATTCGCCGCCGCGAGAACGAGAGATCCGCGCGTATACATACACATTTTTGCGAGCAAAACGGAAGAACGGCAACGAAAAAAAAGGCACATTGTGTTGTTGTGCAACTTTAAGTACAGTACGTATACAACAATGCGCGCGCGCGAATAGACGCGCGGCGGGACTAATTAATCGATGAGCCAGAGCGATATAGGTACGCCAGGCATGCAAACAAACGCGCGTGTATACGAGCTTGCGTGTGAGATTCGTTGCCGCCGCGAGGTATAGGGTTTGCGTAAGCTTCGAGAGAGGCAAAGAGAAGAAAGCAAGCCCGCGCATCGCCGCGCGCTAATTGATATATATTTCAAGGGATTTTTGCCTGCTCTCGGCGGCGGCGGGACACAATGCGAGCGCCAGGATAAGATTGCCACCTCGAGATAACGATGCTTATATTATTATCATTATATATTATGTTACATTATATATATGAGAGATCGGTTTTAGGCTTATCTGAATCGCGTTATATACTTACGTCGCGCGCGCGTGTGTGCAAGCATCCACACCTATGTGACTTCCGCGAAAAGCAGCAAAAAAAAAGGAAAAAAAAACATACGCGAGTATAATACGCCGAATATTAGATTAGCGCGGTGAGCAAACGCCGATGCACGAGGCACATACTGTAAGTAAACGCAAAAAAAAACACGAAAAATGTAAAAACCTCGACGAAACTTACGCAATCGCTCAAAAATACGTGTGTATAACGCCGCCTGAGCTCGCGAGTTATGATTTTTTGCACTGCTGCTACGCAAATAATACACGAAGCTCGCGCGAGAACGAGCTATGCGAAAGGAACAAAAAAAACCACGACAAACACGAGGAACAAGAGTGTATCGAGAGAAGAGCTCTCCGAGATCGCTATCGCTTTCACTGTCGGCCCGGCCCGACGACGCATCTTTGTATTTTTTTCAACGTTTTTTTTTTTTATTCTTTTGCGCTTTGGTGCACGCACACGCTAATGCGCGCCTGCAATATAATATAACATAATGTATATTAATGTATGGGCGCGTTAAGGAGAGATAGAGCGATGAGTGTGCGGTTAAATTTGCTCAAGGTCGTTCGCGCGAGACAATGTAGATACATATTTCGCGAGTCGCTCGATACAATTTAGGCGCGAAGAGGCACGAAGATGAGCTCGCGCGGCCGAGGTCTCGGTCTCTATACCGTATCGGAGGAGACCTTCTTTGCATTGTGATTTTTGTTCGTTATATCTCACGCATTGTGTTGAATGCTACCGACGTTTCGACTGTTTCAAGAGAAAACACCTTACAAATTCAAGTTATATAGGTGTGTGTGCTTGGCTCGTAACAGTACGAGAATTCGCCACATGTAACGAATGTATTACGCGCCTTTTTACAAGCGCGTTATGTATCATGGTGCTACAAGGCTCGCCGCGCCACATGCGAATTCCTACATCGCTCTCGGAGCGCATTGTTGTACGAGCTTCTTTTGTACATACCATCACGATTCTTTGTAGTCGGTTTTGATACGCGCAACAGGTTCACCTCGGTCGCATATCCTATGAACACTCGTATAGTACCGATCACAAAATCGGTCCGATATATTTGACGGAGCACACGTGGGATTTTATATTTGTTCTACAGCTTGAAGTTACAGTGGTAACATATATAAGCCGCAATTTATCGGCGATCAGAGCTACGGAGCTCGCGACTATAATATAATAATAGTCGCGCATTATATACAGGACGTGTGGGTGTGTTGCTGCTGACGACGAGCTGTTGACCTCGTCAAGGCCGCAGCGCTAAAACCGATCGGATGGAATCGTTAAAAAGCCTAGCAGCAGCAGCAGCAACTTGGCATTCGCTCAGGCGACCCATTCATATTTTGCACGTAACGTATTAATCCCGAGACGTTTTCCTTCCACCTCTCCCTATCTCTCTCTCTCTCTCTTTCTCAATTCCAAGGCAACAGTGTAGGAGGATTTTTTTCCTCTTCTTCCATTGAACACATCTGCCCGCGCGCAGCACCAAGTTCTGCGCGGAGTCTTGGCATTGACTTTTTGGGACACACTTGAGCGAGCGAACGAGCGATCGGCGCGACCGGTTTTTTTTCGGACAAGTGGGTGGACTCCCGGCCAAGTGTATAATACGGACACAGGCACAGACAGGCATCGATTGTAAATCGCAAATGTATCTCCGCCGCGCAAGTGTGTAAGTGTGTGTGTTTTTACGCGTCCCGTGACACTCTCCGCGGTGGAATGCGGTTTCGTTTCACGTTCTCGCCCGCACGCGCCCCAGAAACTCGAGAGAGCCGTGCCATACGCGCGATTATTACGAGTACATTACACGCGCACGGCCAATTGTTGCTTTTTTGCAATATCAATTATATACGCGTTTATTTTTCTTTTTCGTTTTCGTCGATTTGACTGCTTTTTTGCGTGCGCGCGATTGGGCAAAAATAATATTAAAAAAAAATTGACGCCCGGCGCGTAGATATATGTAATAGGAATTATGCGACCGCAGAGATCGCAGCGGCAGTGGCTACGTGGATCGCTTTCAAAAAACCGCAGCAGCTCCGCGTGTACTACTACCTATAGGTAGGAATAATTGCACGTTATATATACGCACATTTGCGCGCGACCACAAACGTATAAATTTGCCGAAATGAACGATATTATAGGTGCGTAGGATGTCGTATATACGTCTGTTTGTGCGCTCCGCGGGTCCTTCCGCACAACGTATACGTCGAAGGTACACTAGAACGCGTCAGGTATAAGGAACAGCATCAACGACAACAACAACAACAACAATGCGCGATAGCTATCGGCGAAAACTTTCACTTTAACTCCGACGTCTTGTGTGCATATATATTTCGCGCATAGAAGAGACATTCTATTAGCGGACTAGCAGCAGCAGCAGTCGTGTATTCTTTTTTATGTTAAAAAATAACTATGGTAAATATAGTCGCAGGAGCTGCACTGCATCTCGCGCGCGCGACAACCCTCGCGGCTATATCATAGACGTTATGCATGGATACACATCTGGATGCGCGGCGTACCTAACGATGCCTCGGCTATCCTATAAAAGTAAACTTTTCTTCGGTCATTTCGCCGCAGGAATAATCACGAGTACGCGGCGCGCGTAAAATTCGCTGCCGCACCGCACATTACATTATACTTTCTCCACGAACGCGCGTGTGTGTGTAAGTACGCGAGCTGTTTTACTACTTACGAGTCTAGCACGAATACGATATAATACATTTTTATGCAATCGTTTCGTAAGAATTACGCGCGCGGAGCACAGCAGCACACAAGACTCTCTGCGGCGGCGCACGTTACATCCGATTTGTTGTTATATGGCAGCGACGTCGTCGTCGTGCGGTTTTTTTTAGCGAAAAATTCGAAAATTCAACGCAAACACGAGTGTCTCGTGTAGCTGCAAGCACTCGATATGGGAATACAGTATGGGCACGCAGCAGCCGCGCACACTTTCTATTTGCTTTTTTGCATACGCATATAGATATAATAAACTATTCGAGACGTGTGTAAATACGCGTGTATACACACACACTTATACGAATCGCATTTTATAATGCGCCCGTAAAAGCTGTAAATATAAATTTTCTTCCTCCAGGCGCGCGCGAAATCGCAGGTAAATACTAGAGAGATATCTGTCGTGCGTACATACGTGTATATGCGGCTCCTTTTTTTTCCGTACCACGTCGATTTTTTTCGCGCCTGCATCACATCGCACCGCGAGAAGAGAAGAGAACGCCGTTAACGCTGTAAACATATACCTAACGCGTCTTATCTACCTCGTTTGATCGTTTTGCAGCAGTACAGAGATCGCTACATATATACGCCTGGCGCGAAAGGAAGCCAAGCCGCGAGAGCCTCGTAGGCCGCGCGAGTCGAACACGCCTTGACGTCGTAAAATCGGCGCAATAAACGAAATTCCTCGCGAGGCTGCGCTGCAGCCAAGCCTCGTATACTGGTAGTACGGCGCGCGGATTCCTGGCAGCAGCAGCAGCAGTTGTGTACAGCGAGGAGGACCATATTATTATCCGACGCGCGCAATGTTGTTGTATTATATAGGTACGCGAGATATAACAAAGTAAGATTTATAAAAAGAAACAACGAGCAGTTATATTGTCGTGTATAATACAATATTTATAGAAAAACAGCTGCTAATATTATAGGTGTCTTTGGCGATCGGCCTATAACTATATACTAATACTCGCGACTCTCCGAATGCATACGTGTGTGTGTGTGTGCTAACTTACGTAATTGCACTTGCTGCGCAATGCCGCTCTATTATGCACCTCGACGTGCAGTGGTTTCTCTCTCTCTCTCTTTCTCATTTTCTCTCTCTCGCATAGACACACACGTATTCGTATATTATAATGCGCGATCGGACGCTAGCGGTGCGTAGGTGTGGGATATATACATACATTCACGTATTATAGATAGATTCCATAGCGCAGCGCAGCCCGACGACGAGAGATGAATAATGACAAGTTTGTGTGTTGGCGATTTATGTACGAATAATAATATTTAAAAAGAAGAAGAAGAAGAGGAAAAGTTTGCGTGGATTTGGACTCGAGTTGGGACGCTTTTTTCGTTATTAATCTCCAATCGCGAGTGTATTATATACGCGGAGAGCAATAAGAGATCGGAGCGCTTTACAAAACTCGCTCCTTATTTGCCGCTGCCTCGACTGCAGTTATAAGGCTCGCTCTCGCGACCGCCTAATAAATCCTCTACATATACTCTTGACTCGACTCTCGACTCCGCGGACGGACGGACGGACGGACGATCGCTTTTCTGCAAGTTGTGCAAAACAGCCATATCCACGAGCGGCGGCAGCGAATCTGGATATATATAAGCACGATGTGCATGCATGAATAGAGAGAACCTGTGCCCGTAGCCGCCACGGCCTGATACGTGTGTATGCGCGCGAGCTTAGCCTCTCTCTCTCTCTCTCTCTCTCTTTCTTTCCGTTCACTCTCGTGCTGCAGCAGCCGCATATATACTACACGGCAGCAGTGCAGAAGCAAAAGGCAGCAGGCAGCGATGAAGGAATGCGAGAGGAGGACGGATTTTTTCTCTCTTGCTCTCTCTCTCTCTCTCTCTATCTTTTACTCTCTTGTGTATACAATTTTTATATAGGCCTCGGCTATCGAAATTCTAATTCTTTTTTGCTCGTCTCTCCATTGTTATGTAAATTCGTGTAAAAATTTACCTCGTTTTCTGTCGGGGCCTGTGTGTGCTCGACGTCGTCGCTCGATGTATCTCTGCCGTGTATTTTTATAAGCTGCACTCGTTGTGTCGTTACAAATTCGATGCGCACAAAAATTCACCAGAGATTACAGTAGCAGGTATTTGTTACAATATCTGCGGGCACAAATTTCAAATCTTTATAAATACATAATAAATTATGCAATCACCACTCGTGTGTACGCGGGGGAGGAAAATAATAAATGAACGCGATACAGAAAAAAATTGACGATGAAGAGAAAAAAATTTGATCACGTTCGGTGTTACTTCACTCGACTCTCGGCGCTGTACGTGCAGGATAAATTATAAATAATTACACTCGTGTTGTTGCGCGGCTAGTTTTGCTGCGATATCACGCCGTATATATGTGGAGAAGCGAAAGGACGATGTGTGTGCTTCGCGTCTCGCGGTTCTGAACGTTCTGGTAGCAGCCGCAGCGGACTTTGTGAATGCAAGATCTTGTGTGTATGTATATACTTGGCGGGCTCTCTCTCTCTCTCTTGCGCGCGCGGACTCGCTCTTTTGCTCTCTTGCTGCTGCTGTTGCTGCTGTTGCTTGAGAGAAGGAGGAGAGAGATTGTATACGTATGGATGATGATGAGAGAGTAAGAGAGAGAAAAGTTGAGCAGGAGGAGGAAGGGGCAACGCGAAACGATATTGTGTGTGCGCTGCATCGGCGGGCCCCGCTCGAGATCGGTAATGCTTGAATGGAAACCCATAGACTGAGCGAGCGAGAGAAAGAGAGAGGCAAGAGAGCTCGAGCGACTGTAAGAGTGTGTGTGTTTGCGAGATGTATCTATAAGGAGTGAATGAGCTTATATAGCCGCGAAGGATACGTTTTATCCTTTGGTCCTGCGCGCGGCGGCTGCAGCAGCACGTGCTCCGCTGCACGTTAGAAATTATATTCTTTGCGCGGGAGTACAGATTAGTAGCGCTGCAAAAACGTTTCCTTCCGATGTATCTCGATGTGCGAATATAAAAACTATATTCGCGGGGAGGGCATTTAGGAAACGATCGATTAAATGTGCCACACGGCGCGTATAAATAACGCAACACCGGACGTATTCGTCGATCGCTGATAAATAAATTCAAGATTTGGCAATGCGCTCAATCGGCACATACCATAAGTGAATTCTCTCTCTCTGCTAAGCGCTTTAAGATAATGTGTGTATATATAAAATCGTGTAAATTGTGCTCGCGCGGGGGGACGGATACATGTGTATAATAATGAGCTGCTCGCTCGCGGCGATGAGTCAGAGATCGGATGTAAGCCGCTGTGTATAGTGGTAAAGGCCTTTCGAAACGTATACACTCACACATTGGCTCGTCAGAAAATGAACCAGATGACGAGATCGATAATTGCAGCGCTCGCGAGCAAAGCGTCGTATATAATACCTCCCAATGCCACTGACTCAAAGGAAATTCAGAGACGCGTTGTTGTATTGTTGTCGTAAACTTTTATATTCGATTTTACGTTTTAAGAGCACACACGTCCTGCATGATGTATATATGGGTGTAGCGCTGCACAGGCCTCTGTGCGCGCAGTTTTTGGCCGGAAACACGGAGCCGATATCCGATATCGTAAATAGATGATTGAAAAAAGCCTGCGTTTGTAATTGCTCTTTCATCGCCAGCATATACGAACAGGTCGAAACAGCACATCCGATGATGGACGGACGACGATACCGCGAAAGTCCCAGGCCTCGTCGTCGTCGTGCGAACAAAAAAAAAAGGACGGGCGGTTTGCGGGCAGTGCGCGCGTACAGTACGTGCAGTATCGCGCGCGAGCAAATCGGTTAGCAGGTCATGCGCGTATCGAGAAAGCAGCAGAGATGCCGCGGCAGCAGCGAGTTACCGATCGTATCGATCGTCGCGCAAAAACGCATTTCGAGGACCGGACCACCACCTGCGCTGCTGCTGCCGCTGCTGTACGCACTACATCGATCGAAATCTCCATCGCCATAAATGGTCGCCCATGAGCGTATTGTACATACACCGGAGTCGGACCGATTACTGACAGTTGGACGGTGTACGATACTGTTGCCCGTACTTATACATCTTGGTGCATTAATCATCGATATATTCGCACGCGGGGGATCTTATAACTTCGTCCTCGGCATGGATTTTTCCTTTTTTTTTTTTTTTTTTTTTTTTTTTAATTTTNCTCGGCATGGATTTTTCCTTTTTTTTTTTTTTTGTTATTGTTTTTGTCGTTGTTGTTGTTGATCTCGAGCACCGAAAAACGATATCATACCCGCGTGGGTGTACAATATAAGTAAACGTTGGCGATCGGCGAGGCGAGAAGATCCGATTTTGGCAATGTACTACTCTTACTACTACTACTACAGATGGACGTGCAAGATTTTTGTTGCTCTTTTTTTTTCTTCTTCCAAAGCTACTCTGCGATGTGCTGCGTCCTTGACACCGAACCATAGGCAGCTATGCGCGCGTATATACGCACCAACGACGTGACACTGCCGTCTTTTTTTATTACAGTATATTATAGTCGCTGAGCAGAGACACATACACACGCACGACGGACAGTAGTATAGTGTGTAAGCGGCGCCGAGCCATACCGATCTGCACACCGCGAGTGCATATTATTCGCGTTCAATGTCACCCACACCGGTACGCATATGGAAGTGTGTACATATATAATAATAACGCAGCGCAGAGGAGAGCGAGGAAAGAAAGAGAGGCTGACACGGCACGAGAGAGAAATAAAAGAAAAACTGCATCGTGTCGCGACGCGTCGATTCGAGACACGAAACAAGAAGATGCCAAATTAATGAAGCTGATGAAATTTTCGTGTAGATGTAAACTCGATGCACGATGTACCTGGTTGATATACGCGTATAGTAGGTGCCATGCGTGTACGAGCGATCGGATCGAATTTCGACCTTTTTTTGCCTTCTTACGCGCGAGTATAATAAGCGATCGGTAATTCGAATCCGAACGTACTACGCTCCATCATAAACATGCCTCGCTATACGTCACATCAATTATATCATACGAATTTCCATTTATGACGTTTGGCGGAGGTGAATTTCCGTGTATCGATCGTTAATTTTTCAAACTCGCGGTCGAGCGCTCCGCTTTAACGACAACAAAAAAAGCGCACAACGACGCGCGAGCGACAACATCGACGTTTCAGAAAAGTAAGAAAAAAGAAAAGAAGCATATAGACGGAAAGAGAGAGAAAAGACGGAATCGAGAATGCCAGTACGTATGCGTATAAAAGCGAAACGACCTCGACGGCATCTTCGCGAGTGTCCTTTGCAGCTATATTATACGAGGCTTAACGAACTCTCTTATAGTATACTTACTCGCTCCGGATGATCGCGGCCGCGTGGGCGGCTCGCATGTACACAGGCTGCAGCATACACGCACACGTCTGTGTATATATGGAAGCGCATGCGACAGGCACTCACACGTACTACGGAGGCCTACGCATTGCTGCTGGTACATAGCAGATCCATTAACACACTTTTATACGTACGTGTGTGTTTTTACCACAGCAGCAGCAAAAACTCGTCGGGAATAATGTCACGCGCACAGGTTTTCTTTTCTACTGTTCGGTGAAAATTTGTAATTCTTATATGACAGCTTTCCATGAATTATTTGCGCGATTGCGAAAGTGATCAGTTATTGTACTTTCTTATAGCTGCTGCACAGTATCATTTTATTTTATGAAAGATACCTTTGATGCCTATGAATTAAAAATACTTTCAACTTTCATCAAAAATCCAAAGCTATCGCTAAATCAACAATTGTTTAAATTACTTTCAAAATATTCAATATTAATTTACAAGTTTAATTCATTATGGTTCAATCAATTAAGAAGATATATCTGATGTCAAGGTTTGAACAAATGAAGAGATTTTCAAAAATTACCGTACAAATAACTTTATTATTATTAAATGTACAGGTAAATATAAAAACTTAAGCTACGGGATCATCACCCTTGGTGGTTCTGGTGTAGATCAGCTGGGCATGATGCTGAACAACTTGTTTGATCAAGCCCTTCTGTTGGAGTTCGATCAAAGCTCTCCTGGCCAATGATCCTCTGATCTTTAGCCTTTCACTGAGGATGGAGGGAGTGATCAGTTTGTAGCTTGGCACTTCCTTGAGCAATTTGTCATAAGTGCTCTTGTCGAAAAGGACTTGGTTGTTTAACTTGTCCCTGACTTTTCCTTTGGACCACTTCTGCAAATTTCAAATAAAAGGTTTGTTATTTAAACTGTACTTTTAAAATTATATAAAAGTATGTACAAGATTGAACGTTTGCAATGAACAAAAAATTTGACATAAACAAATGCCATTGTAACATTCATATTCTTGATACAGTTGCCACATAACAAACTACGCACCTTCTTCTTAGCCTTGCCTCCGGAACCTCCTTCCTTCTTCTTCACAGTTTTTTGGGGCTGCTTAGAGCTGCCCTTCGAGTCCTTCTTGGGAGGCTGTAAAATTATAATAGTGAGTTAATTTCTGTTCAACAATACAAAAAACGATTATACTTAGTTTAAAAGATTTCAGACTCATTAAATCAGTTTGCCATCACATATTTGCTATGGTTAAGTTTTGTACATCATGAAATAGGTTAGGAATAGCAATAGAGATCAACTATAATTTTTTAGTCAAAAATTGCTGACAAATAAACCTTACAATGATATTTGAACGTTAACAGGGTAGTAATAGATTATTGAATGCGAGAATATACTCGTTTTTATTGTTAAATAACATGTCGGACTTTTCACAGTCCACCATGTGCTTCGACAATAATACATAACTCGAAATAAATTAGTTTAACACATATTTACTAAAAAGAACGCCAAAATATATTGTGAATAAAATTGAGTAAATAAAATGTAATTGATCGATCTATTGATATTAATGAAATAGTTAAAAAAAAAAGTTTCTTATGATTCTTTTGTACGCACCATCGTGATATCTTATACAAGATCCCAATTCGAAAGAATCCCAGCTAGCTACACGACACGCAATTGAGAGAACGCCGCAGCCGGTGCAACGACGCAACTCGAAAACGACGCGAGGCGCTGCTCTCACAACTTCGGTGGAACTACGTTTGAATCGTAGAAGCGGCAAATGTACGGATTTTTATGCGATGAAAAATGTTGAAAAATCGGGAAGGTATGGTAGGTTGTTTTAAGATTGTCAATGAGGTCATATCGAGCTGCTGAGTACTCCCGTATACTTAGCATGTAAAAGTTGATTGGTAAAATTACTTACAAGTAGTTTACAGTCGAGTGCAAAAATTAGTAAATAAAAAATATTTAGATAAAGCAAAACCCCTCTTGTTTAAAAAAACATTGTAGCAGTTTTAAAATAAAGTCTTTAATTTGTATTTAAAAAAAATATTATGAAGAAAAGGTAAGTTAAGATCATAAGAAGTTATTGCTTTTTTTACAGTGAATTGATCGTCAGCGTAGATCAGTTAAAGAGATATAGAAGCCAGCCAAAATAACATTTCCATTCTACGATTCGTTATTGCCGATAAGCAATGAACGTTTGAATACAGAGGTGCCTGAAAAAATTGATGCAACTACCAATGATTGTGCCACCGATTTGGACATCGAGACCTTAATAATCCATCGGCCAACTATAATTGTGGTAAAATTATAAAAATTTATGATATCTTAGATAAGAGTGTAGGCTAAAATGTAAAAAATTATTTATAAATTTAGATGAGTCTTCTCGTGTATATAATCAAGAATCCTCTGTAAAGCATAATGAAGACTGTTTAATTCCCTTTGCCGATGTAAGTAAATATATTTGGCTGATTGACCATTCCATTGACAATTCATATTAATTTTTATTTTAATTTTTAGATAAACAAAGACCCAAAGTTTTGGCCTTTAAACTTGTATGAAAATGAAGAAATGCGTCTTAAATATCTGCAGAAAGGGTTCTCGTATTTTCAAAACAAGGATTCTACATTTGTAACGTCAAAGCGCGAGTAAAGAACTCAAATTAGGTACTTTACCCCTAAACTTATTTCGAAAAAATTACCAAATGGTGAAAAGGCAGGAAGAAAATGGCTTATGTTTTTCGAGTCAAGTGGAGCCGTTTTCTGTTTCGTTTGTAAATTGTTTTCAAAAAACTTGAAGAATCCTTTTGTAAAAGATGGATTTTCTAATTGGAAGAAAGACAAACAAATAGTATCCGCACACCAAAATAGCAAAAACCATTTAGATTGTATGGTGAAATGCCTATCTTATTTTTCCAAATCATCTGGGATGACTCGGATTGATAAAAGTATGATCGAATCCATGGAGAGTCAGGTTCAATATTGGAGAAATGTATTGAAACGAGTCGTATCTCGCAATAGCGAAAGATAGAAAAAAGTATTTTTATTTTAGTTTCATTTAGTTTTTTTTAGATGTGTTTTGGAATTTGTTTATGTCAAATAAAAAAGGTGTATTGCAATTTTATACAATTTTGGAAACTTTATTTCAATTTTTCTTCCATTTTTTTTACAAATCCACATAAAATGTCACTTGGTTCATGGACTCTTGGGTAACCGGAGTTTTTTAATCACTCAGATTTTATGTTTTTACTTTTAAGGGGGCCGTCTTCGAATTTTAGCCCCGGGCCGCACGAACCCTTAATCGGGCACTGCTGCAACAAAATCAAAATAGGATATAAATAAGTATAATTCAGTTTTACATTTCTAGAAAAAATTAATTCTTAGGGATTCAATCAGTAGTGGGTAGTGGTATAAGGTGAGTGTCATCATCTTAGGCTAAGATTATTTTAACATCATTTGAAATCCTCAATGATTTAAAGTTTAATTTAAACTTCTATTTGGCTTACCTATAATTTCAATTAGCCTTATGTACTTCAATAAATGTATGAACAAAGAACACCGAGATCTGCAACAAAATAAAAACAAGATATAAATAAGTATAATTGTTATTTATATTCTTACGCGAAAGTTAATTCTTAAGGATTTAATCAGTAGTGGGTAGTGGTATAAGGTGAGTGTCATCATCTTAGGCTAAGACTGATTTAACATCATTTAAAATCCTCAATGCTTTTACGTTTAATTTAAACTTCTATTTGGCTTACCTATAATTGTAATTAGGCTTATCTTCTTCAATAAGCGTACGACCAAAGTGCACTGAAGGCTGCAACAAAATCAAAATACGATATGAATAAGTATAATTCAGTTTTACATTTCTAGAAAAAATTAATTCTTAAGGATTCGATCAGTAGTGGGTAGTGGTATAAGGTGAGTGTCATCATCTTAGGCTAAGATTATTTCAACATCATTTGAAATCCTCAATGCTTTTAAGTTTAATTTAAACTTCTATTTGGCTTACCTATAATTTCAATTAGCCTTATGTACTTCAATAAATGTATGAACAAAGAACACCGAGATCTGCAACAAAATAAAAACAAGATATAAATAAGTATAATTGTTATTTATATTCTTACGTGAAAGTTAATTCTTAAGGATTTAATCAGTAGTGGGTAGTGGTATAAGGTGAGTGTCATCATCTTAGGCTAAGACTGATTTAACATCATTAAAAATCCTCAATGCTTTTATGTTTAATTTAAACTTCTATTTGGCTTACCTATTGTAATTAGGCTTAATTGTAATTAGGCTTATCTTCTTCAATAAGCGTATGAACAAAGTGCACTGAAGGCTGCAATAAAATCAAAATACGATATAAATAAGTATCATTCAGTTTTACATTTCTAGAAAAAATTAATTCTTAAGGATTCGATCAGTAGTGGGTAGTGGTATAAGGTGAGTGTCATCATCTTAGGCTAAGATTATTTCAACATCATTTGAAATCCTCAATGCATTTAAGTTTAATTTAAACTTCTTTTTGGCTTACCTATAATTTCAATTAGCCTTATGTACTTCAATAAACGTACGACCAAAGAACACCGAGATCTGCAACAAAATAAAATCAAGATATAAATAAGTATAATTGTTATTTATATTCTTACGCGAAAGTTAATTCTTAAGGATTTAATCAGTAGTGGGTAGTGGTATAAGGTAAGTGTCATCATCTTAGGCTAAGACTGATTTAACATCATTTAAAATCCTCAATTCCTATAAGTTTAATTTAAACTTCAATTTGTCTCACCTAAACGTTCCATACTCTTTGCATATTTCAAGTGCAAGTTCTCAAGTATGACATGTGAGCATGTGAAATATAAACCTGATCCTCTATCAATTAAAACTGTTGCAAGTGGCTAATACAACTACAGTTGTTTTATCCATACCAGATTTTCCTCGAAATGAAATATCCATACATGGTACAGCTTATAAAATTCATTCATGTTACACTGAAAATAAAGATGTAAAATCTCATTAAAGATGATCCAAAAACTTTTGCCTTTGCAGTTTTCTCTAATAACAGTGTGAATAAAGAAAGAAAAAAAAATATTTAAAAAATAATATTGCTCAGACTTAACCACAGATTTTTCCAAAATGAAACTTTTGAAATGCAAATTAAGAATTTCTTTATTTATGTCATGCAGACAAAAATCTATAAAAAATAAATGAATGCCCTTATAAAAATTTCCTATAGGATCTCGCGAAATTCCTACAGGAGTCCTATAGGATTCCAATAGGAATTTCGCGGGATCCTATTGGAAATTTTTATAAGGGTGATACACTTTCTTTCAAGTCATACCAAATTGTAAGTACAAGAATAATATTCATACAGCAATATCAATTTTATTTGTTAAAATTTGTGTTTCTTTAAAGCTTATGGGAGCTAATTGGTGAGTATTCACTTAGAAGTTAGAAAAATTAACGTAGCTTGCTTATATTCAAATGCTGTTATCAAAGAAAGTTGAAAGAGGCACTAGTAGATAATGAAAGTTCATATAATCCTACTGACTCACCAAATAAATTATATACCGTTGAAAAAATAAAGCATTGTAAACCAATTTTTACAATAAGAATCATGTTATACCCAAGGCAAGCCATGAAAGCCCCTTGGTGAGAATAGGAGACATATTTTAGCTGTTTTGTTTCATTTCGTCAGCACCGCAGCAGTTTCAAGGTATTGATTCTGAAAAAGTTCAGTATATTATTACGTAGCTAAAATGAATAAATATTGTTCAAAGAATAAATAGTAAGTATTTTTTTACTAACCTGTGCAAAACTTTCATGTTAACTCAGCAGCCGGTTGCACGTGACGATAGTCTGAACTCTGAACACTGGAGTCTGGACTCTGGCGGTACACCGCGCGATGAGATACGCCATCTTGCGCAGCGTTCGCGCAACCTTATTTTGCATTACGAAATTGTCGGGAATACATGGAACTGCAGTTTTTCATTTCGTTTCAGTCGATACTTATATTCGATTTTTTGACTATGAAACTTTTGTAAATTTTATTTTCCTATTACGAAAATACGCCAAGTGCTTCATAAAACAAAAAAATACGCAACCCGCAAACATTTTTTTCAACGATCTTAGAACGTGCAATATGAGTAGATAATAAAAAATAAACATTTCATGATTAACGGATGCCCGGGTCACGGAGATCATTTATATATTGTTCGAGAGATCGATTGATAATACAATTATTTTCGTCAGTGAAAAAATTATTTTATAACGTATCATTTTTTATTTTTTCACTGTGATTCAAGAATTGTTGAAAAACAGTACTAAAATCAAATTTCACATCAATATTTTTTTTTCATTATATTTCAACAACATTAAATACTCGTAATTTAAACTGTTTTCGAAAATTATATTTTTATAAATTTTTATATTTAAATCCTGTTTTTAATCCCCGAATCAACTAGATCAGTTCACGGTTGCTGTTGCTGGCTGGAGCAGCAGCACCTCGGCACGGGAAAATGCATATCGCGCGCACGTAAGTTTACGCATCGCGGCCAGGACATTCCATGTTTGGAGTCGCGCGACTCCGGTGCGTGCTGCGTGCGATAGGCCGATACACCTATATGTAGATATGCATTAAAAGAAGTTGGCGTGTGTAGCATGCTCGACCGGCGGTGGCAGCAGCTCCGCACCATGTATACAACAACTCGGCCTTTGTACCATACCCACTGAATACATGTGTACAATGCGATAGCCCCCGCAGGAAAATGCCGAAACGTCGCATTTGATCCTCGATCGTATGGATGAAAATCGAGCCGATCCAATCATAGCGGTTTTGACTCTTCATCTTTATGCAGGAGCTGGATCTCGCGAATTCTCGCTCTCGACGCTATATAGAAGGCCTGCACTGCACGCAGCGGAGTGCAAAAGCCACAGCTGAGAAATTATTGCAGACTGCATATAGGTATAGTGCATGCATAGGATAGGTGCACGCGCGTTATGCTACAATTGCAGCGTGTGCATACTCTTTGGCCTCCTCAGCAGCGCAGGAGCAAGACTCCGAGACTCTACTCTCACGGCGAGCCGCGAGCACACGGCGCAGAGGCCAGTCTGCAGTTGAGCAGTCTGCATTTTCGCGATATACGTAAAAAGGCCTCGGGGGTTGTGTTGTTGCGACGAGTGTCGAGCAGTCGAGGAGAGCTGCTGCCTATTGTATACACAAAAGTGCGAAATGCCGCAGCGGCGCTAGTCGACGACGTCGTTGATCGCTGCTCTCTCTACTGCTGCTCTCCGTGTGCAGTGCAAGATCTCGCGGTCCTCGGCAGAACACGATAATATAAGTTGTGCAGTGTTCGTCGCGAGCAGCCTCGCTCGGCGCCTCCGTGCTAAACACTCGCTGTGTGCATCAGATCGCGAGTGCCAGTGTATTCGTACGTGCGCGAGTGGTACAAGGTAAAATGTGCTCTCGAGAGCGCCCCCGCAGCAGCAGCAACAATATATCGCGCATGAAACAACGCTGCAGGGCGGTCGCTAGTGCAGCTTAGACAGAAAGAGGAGCATCCTAAATCCACTACATGCGTCTGCAAGTCTGTAGCGTCGAATCAACCTTCTACGCACGCAGCAAGCCGTGCTAATATAGCAGTAGATATAATACGCAAAGTTCGCGAATTCCGCACGGCTCGCGGCTCTCTTATCTCTCTTTCTCTCTCTCTTTCTCTCTCTCTCTCTCTCTCTCTCTCTCTGTACTGTGTCGCGAGGCGTCGCGGATTGAAAGTCAGTCCTCTCATCGGCGCGGTTCTACTCTCTCTGTCTCGTGCGAGTGCGTCGTCTAGAGCTCACCGCGGTACAATGTCGTTTGAGTAGCATCGACGGAGAGTTATTTGCTTGCGACTCTGTCTCTCTCTCAGTGCGCGAGTGTCAATATATCGCAAAAGACTACCAACACATACATATCCGAGGAGTAGCAGCGAATTTACAGCATACTAGTGAGCCAGCCAGCAGCAGCGCACATTATAATACAGCACACAGCAGTCGGACACACTGAGCCTCCTATATACAATCCTATATAATATCAGTGTCGCGCGAATGCCAAGCAGCAGCAGCAGCAGCGTAGCGAGTACAAGTCGTGTCTGTGCTGTCTTTGTGTGCGTGTGAGTCCGTGACTGTGAGAGAGCCGTGCGTGGTGCGCGCCTCGCCAGTGCTACGCGAGCTGCTGCAGCAGTAGCAGCCAAAACGTCTCGAGAGTCTGCTCTCTCGGCACGACGACGGCCGAGCTCTCTCACTCTTTTTCCGTCTCTCTCTTTCTCTCTCTTTCTCTCTCACTCTCTCTCTCTCTCTCGCGTATTCAGTGCTACTGCTCTCGGGGATCTCGCGAGGCAGCGTATCTCTCGTCTACTGTGTGCAATTCGTGTGCTCCGTTTTTTTTTTTGCTGGTTAAAAGCCGAGTGTGTGGTGGTGCGACGAGAGGAAGAAGCTTTTGGTTATCTTTTTGTTGTTGTTGTTTTTTGTTGTTTCGGCAGTGTGTATATAATATCGTAATAATAAGCAGTGTCACAGCAGTGATTCTTGTGTTCTCGCGAATGTAAAGTGTGTTCAGCCGAGTGCGCTCATTTGTCAAAGTACATTGAGCATCGACAAACAAGTAGTAGCAGCAGCAGCAACAAAACAGTGCAGTTTTATTAGAGTGAATATATAAATAAGCCTGCGGCACAGTGTACAAGGATAAACGAAGAGCCATCAAAATATACATACACATATACACAACAGTGCGTGTGCGGTGTGTTATACAGTGAGTAGTCTTGCTCCTTTTTTTTCATTTCTCGGTCCGTGCTCTTCCCAATCAGTGTATATAATTTCTCATATAGAAAAACAGTACATGTATCCGCTCTAAAACGAAGAAGAAAATACATATACATATCCGTAAATTTATATATATAACACACGAGCAGTAGTAGTAGTAGTAGTAGTAGTATAGGCTTCGGAATACGCGAGTGCGAGAGTGTGTAAGTGTACGTGGTGCTGCTCTGCTCTGCTCTCTCTCTCTCTCTCGCTCGGTTCGGCTCGGCTCGGCACAGTGTTGGCGCGTCCGCCATTCCGACAAACAACACACCACGAAATCTTCTCTCTCTCGCTCAGCGGAGAGCTCGTTTCCTCGGATCTCCGCCGCGTTTGCGAGAGAGAAAATGCGCGTGTGTCTGTGCGTAGTTTGTAATATATAATGCATGCCTTATGAAACGCAGCGGTGTTCGACGAACCTCTTGCCGAACATCGTCGCCGAGAGAGAAAGAGAGAATTGCAACTCGCATTTTACATGTATAGCGTACGAGCATACGTACGGGTGTGAGTGAGAATGTGTGTGTGCCTGTCTGCCTGCCTGCCGCTCGGCTCGCTTGCGTGTAAATGTATGTGTAAACTTTGCGTCCGTGTGGATTGCTGCTGCTTTATGTACGCGTGTGCGTGTGTATAAAGCACGCAAATATATACACGCACACGACGACGCGGACGAGCTTCGCAGCAGCAGCTCCGTATTATAGTCCGCGTAGCTGTCGTAACCTTATCATGTGAAACACATACAGATATACCACTAAACGTAAGACGTCTTTTACAGATTCTTATGTGTTTTTTCCAAGTGTGTATGAGTAAATCCGTGTATAGACCGTGCGTGACATTGCGTGCGTGTGTATGTGCCTGTGTGAGTGTATATACAGACCAAGTGCCACTCTTAAGTTCGTCCAAGTTTTTTGTGCTTCTCCAACTTCCATCACGCGTCGATGTCTAGATATATATAGGCATGCTACACAGACAACAAGGCACGTAATAATTCGAAATTCTCGAGGGCCTCGTAGATAGATAGATATCGTCTGTCTATTGGACATTGATCTGTTTCGGAGCGATCGAGTCATCGCAGCGTAATCTCGCCGTTATACCTCGGCACATACCCGTGTGTGTCATGTGTTTTCTGTGTCTGCGTGTCTGTACGTGTATGTCACTCGCCGACGTCTCGCAGTCTCTCCTCGTTCGAGAGGATTTTTGCTCCTTCCTCTCCGGACACTGGACGTTATTACTAACGTTACTACTCGAAAAGAAAAAAAAATTTGCGCGACTTTCTCTTTCGCGTTGGTGGTGGCGGCCCGTAAGTGACTTTTTCGGAAAATCATTTCTTCGTTTCGCACATGCTTGCCTGCTCGTCGTCGCTGTTGAGTGATTTTAAGCCAAGCGTAGCGGCAGCGGTACTCGATCATTCATCGCTTCAAAAAAGTTTTTTGATCTTCCTCCGTCCGCCTCTGCTGCCTTTATGAGAGACGAGATGGAGGAGGACTATTAGATTTGTTTTTTACGTATGTTTATTACGGGGGAGACGAAAGTTTAATCGAGAATCTAGTTCTGTTTGTCTACGCACGCATGTGTGCCGCCGCCGCCGCCGCTTCTGTTACTGCTGCTGGATGACGAAGTTTTGCAGTCGAAACTAGTTTTACAACAATAAAAGTTAGGCGAAGGTAGAACGAGAGGAAGAGGAGAGAGAAAGAGAGGGAGAGAGAGAGATAACAACGAATTTGCGTACTATGCCAGCCAGCATAACTGTTGCAAAGTACCTCAAAACTTTTGCCTTATTTTCTTCTTTTTTTTCATTAACTTATACGCGTGTGGCAATTGTAATTGGCAGATCTCGTATAAACGAGTCCCGAAACGCGACTGTGTCGAGGAGCAAATGTGCAACAGATTATTGCAACACTGTTGTGCTGTCGTACTCTGAACTAATTAGGATGTATTTTGTCTCTCTCTCTCTATCTCACTTTTTCTCGCACTGTGTACGATTTTGTCAAATGAATGAACCTCGTCTTATCCCTTGCTCCCATACTTTATTCCCTTCTGCTGCGCTTACTACTACTACTTACTACTGCTTCGTTGTGTGAATGAGTCGTAAACAATCGAACGAAAATACAACACACAAGCGAACAAGAGGAGAAAAGATACAAAGACGTAACAACGACTCGTACTTGTGAATAGTATACGCTTTTATATGCGTGCGTGGTATCGATAATAATTCAAGCGTAATCTGTCGTACCTCACGCGAATATAGAGAGATAACGCGAAGCGATGGTCCGCGCAACCTTCTTGACTCCTCTTGTTTTCTTGTTTTTGTATTTGTTTTTTTTTTCGATAGCACACGCGTAGTGGTATTAACTGTATTTTATTTGTCTTTCGACACAAGTTCCGCATGTAATAATGGGAAATTCGAGTCAAGTCACTGTGCTCATAGCCGTCCATCATATAATTGATCTCCATTGTATTTACACGTCTAAAAATAAATAAAATTTCACTTACACATACGCCCCATTAAGCGTCATTTAAATACCGTACCGTAGCCACTGTATATGATATAAACGCCTCGATTATCTTTGTCTCTCTCTAATGTGTCGATTATGTATCGTGTGTTTCAGATCTCGGAGACGAGTGCGACCTCAATGAGGCGACTCACGATTCCCCGTATCTGTGGGCCCAACTGCGAGGCAACTTCGTTACGATTCCTATGGATAAAGTAGTTGAAAGCTGATCATCGGCAGTGAAAAGCCGCGAACATCTGTCTCCGTGCCGTTTTACACGGAAAAGTCGAGATTTAGTCGACTATCTAGTACGTAGGGACAGAAAATTGAAGAAAAAAAAACACACACACACAGAGAATCAAACAAGCTGTTAGTAGGCATGCCGTGCAGCAAGCAGCATCGGTCGAGAAGCAACGAGCGTCCGAAGCACTCCTCCCGTGATCATTATCGTCGTCGTCAATACAGTCAAGTCGATACGATTAAACGGCCTTAAAAGAGGACGAGCCCCCAGGAGTCATCTATGCTGACTGCAGGGCTAACCACGGCAGCAGCAGCAGCAGCTACATCGGCAGCTACCCCGCCGTCGACAGCAGCAGCCGGTGGAGGAAACAACAACAATAACAGTACACAAGCCTCGAGTCACATCGGCAGCATGGACCATCATCAGCTACAGGCCCAGGAGGCGAAGCAGCGCTCGCAGCGCAACCGGCGACGGGAGCGCGCCCAGCGCATGTTGGCCCAGCGCGAGGCCAAGTCCGCCAACAACAGTTTGCTGTCGCTGCAGCAGTCGGCCTCGCCGCACGACCCGTCGCATCATCACGCGTTGAGCCAAGCCGCCGCCGCCGCGGCCGAGGACAGCCCGAGTGGCGACGACGACGACGTGCTGCTGCCGCCCAACAGCCACCACCATCATCATCATCATCACCGGGGCGGCGACGCCTCGAGAAATCCTCGGCTCCAGGGCACGGGGCATCAAAGGCCACCGAGGCCGCCCCGGCCGCCTAGACCGAGAAAGAAGGCGGCTGCCGCCGCGGCTGCTGCTGCGGCCGCTGCAGCCGCTGGGGTGGCTGCCGTCAGCAAAGAGCCCAAGGAGCCCATCTTCGAGGAGGACATAATCGATGGCTTTGCCATCTTGGCTTTTCGCTCCTACGAGGATCTCGAGGTGAGTAACGAACGAATAAACGAACGCAACGCAGCGAATAATAATAAAATAAGGCCCCCAATCGAATCGATAAATTAGCCTCGCAGTGCACGTGCGTGATTACAGCTGTGCCAGGAGCAAAAGAGATCGCGCAGAGCGAGAGAGGAGAGAGACCTTTATCGGTTTCTCATTTACACACTACTCATTATAAATATATGCTCTCGGGCCCCTGAGCTCTCCGATCGTGCTATACATTGAACAAACAAACGAACGAAAAAAATATTCATCTTTGCTGCGCTAGCACAGCAGGTAGTAGTATACGATATACGCGTCGTCGAAAAGGACTAACAAAGAGAAACTCAAGGGGTATCGCGATAAGCGTCCGTGCATTAAATAAATCGAGAACGGAATGCCTGCGCTTTTTTTGTCTTCCTGCTTGCGCGCGCTGCTTAATTTGCCGAGAGTATTATATTAGCTTATAAAGCTGCTGCTGCGGGATGATATCGTTATACTCTATAATATAAAGCGATAATTTAATTCGTGTTTGGAAATTGGAAAAATCAATCGGCACCTGCTGGTGCCGCTGCTGCGTGGTGCGCATACAGCTCGCAAAAAAAAGGCGCGCACTGCACACATCCTTCTCTAATCTGCCGTCGTTGTGCAGCACCACAAGCACACACGCGTTTATACATAACGTGTTTCTCCTCATCTAGCCTCTGTCAGTAGTAGTGGCCAGAAAAAGTTTCTCAATGACCCACTTCTCGCTCGCGCGTACGGGACGACGACGTGTTCTCGCGCGCGCTCGCTTTTATGTGTGTATATTTAGTGGTAATCCGTCTACAGCTGCCGCCGCCGCCACTTTTTTTGCTTTCTTTCTCTCTTAACTTACTCGCTCATTCCGATGTTGGGCGATAAAGTTTTGTTGCCATATACACGCGCGATTACAATCGTCGATATTAATTTATGAATTTCACGGAACGGCGAGGATAAGGAGAAGAGTATAAGAGAGAGAAAAAGAGCGTCAAAGATGCCCAAAAGTTATTGCTGTACACAAACCCTTGTATGGTCTGCGTGTTATTCGCGAGTATTTTTATAAGCGTATAAAACCAGCAATTACATTCACTGTCACGGACGAGTGCTGCGGAGATGCGCCGCAAAAAAAGTAAAAAAGATACAAGCAAGACGTGTGCGCCGCTGATCGCGTGTTAAAGAGATTCTTTTCGTTCTTTCGCGTCGAGTAGCGCGTCAAGCGGCCTGTGTTTATAGATAAAAATGTATTTTAGCATAATATGTATTTTGCAACTCGGCAGAGCCGATTACCATCGATTCTCGACCTTGTTTCTCGATCTTTTTCTTTTTTTTTCTTCTTTTTTTTTTAACACTCGCGGAAGCGAGTGGCGTAAAATTAGTCGGAGTAATTCCCTATTAATAGCCCGCATATAAAACTTAGACAATCGTGCCGCCGCCGCGAGTTTGGAAAAATAATATAAATATGCGTGACGCGCTCGCTAGCAGCGACCGATGTAACAATTTTCAATGTGCAAATATGCACGCGCGCGTGTGCGCATTATAGCCTTTGTGACACAGATAATAAGTATCAGTCGCATACTATAATATACGATTATAAAAGTTAAAACAATTTCGCCGCTGCGGCGGCGGTGACGACCACAATCACTCACGTGCGTCGTCGCCTTCGTGTATTCATTTAAATTCACCGATAATGAATATGAATACGTGCAATCGAATCGCAGCCGTGAACCTAAAAAAAATCATACGAATCGATAATAATTGGCACGTCGATGATCGATAAAAACAATATTATTGTAGGAAGCGTAGACTTATGCCTATATTCCGGAGTCTCTCTTGAGAATATAAGTCCCATTACACGCTGCGATATCTGCAGGCAAATGAGCTTACTCGGCGGGCCGCGTATATTAATAATTAGTCCCATGTTCCATACACACTGAAGCAGCAGCCGTACATATACAGCCCCCGCACGATGTCGCGTGCAGGGGGTCGCACGACACGAAACGAGCTGCTCCGGCTTTTCCTCAGGAGATTTTTCCGCGCTCGGAGAGCAGAGCAACGACTGCTGCTGCTGCCTTTGCTGCTCTCTTTATAGGCGTGTATTATATTATTATTTTCTCTCTCTCGCTCTATGACCTTCGCTTATTCGCGCATGCCGTCGTCGTGCAGCACACGCTGTGTGCTTTTCTCGCAAAAACTTTGCGAGCGAGTCGTTTTGCGCAATCATCAACGCCTATTTGAAGGCACGAAGAAAAAGTAAAAAAATAAATAAATAAATAAACAGGCGAATCGCAGCTCTCGGGCAATCATAAAGCCGCAAATTTGATTTGATCTCTTATAGAATATTACAAGACTGAATTATGTATACATAAAAGGAAACTCGCGAGCCCCGGCGATATGTGTGTATGCCTGAGCTCTGTGTGTGTATCTGTGAGTGTGTGTCTGTGAGCGAGCGCGAAAACGAGTTTCTAATTTCCGAGAAATGCAGCGTATATACGAACGAAACGACGAAGGAAGAGAGAAGCACACACAGCGCAGAGAGAAAGAGAGATGTATGGTATGTGTGTTCGCGCGCGAGAGAGAGTGCGGTATATCTGTCGAGATTTGTGTGCACCGCGCGTGTATGTGTGTGTAGGTATATACTGCATATATATGCACACAGAGACGACCGTAACACAGGCGACTCGGTAATGTCACGCGTGGTGTGCACAGAACATTTTGGATAATAGTTATACCGCTGCAAGAGCCACATTATAGATCATGAAAATTAATAGAAAATCCGCGTCGAAACTCGTCGGACTCTCTTCACTTATGACAAGTCGTAAAAGATCTGTCTCCTTTAACGATCTCTCTCGGTTCTCTCTTTAGGGGTACCCACGGTAAACAAGCAATAAAAGACAATCAAGCGAGCGAGATAATTGTCGAATATAAAAAAAAGAGTGCGCGCGGCGCGCGGAGGGCATAATTTTCGAAACGACGACACACAGCAGAGCACACCGCGATATTAGTCGGAAACAATCATCGTCGGCTCGCTTACTACTCTACTCTCCGATCGTTTGATAGTAAAAACGAGGAGAGCCATGCTTATGCTTGCTGCTGCTGCTGCAGCACTTCTCAAAATCCACACACACGCGTGCGCGCGCGCGCGAGCGCGAAAAAAAAGTCTCGACGAAGCGGAACTGCTAAAGTAAGAATAAAAAAAAAAAAAACGAAACGAAGGCAGCAGCCAAGTCGTGTCGGAATCCCTCGTCTCGCTCTTTCAACCGTGGTATATGGCAATATATATAATAATGATACTGTATAAGCAAAGCCACCACCACCACACACTGCAACAGCCGTGCCTCGCTCTTATGTATACTCCGAAATAATTCCAACTTGCAATAGCAGCAGCAGCAGCCATGAGAACGCGAGCGCGAGACCTTCTTTCTTTCGTCGGAATACTACACTATATACGTGTTCCTTCTTTTTTGCCCTTTTTTTTTCATTCTTTCTTCTCGTTTTCGTTACAACATACCAAAGTGTAATATGCTGCGGGAGAGCCGCTAATTCGTTATAAAAAAAAACCAACCAACTCCTTTCGCGCGCACGTGACTCGCTTGTCTATTTTCGAAACGCGGCGCGCGCGAGCCGATGTAATTTGTCTGTTAGAAAGATAAATAATACGCGAGCGCGACAGCAGCAGCTTTTGATGTTGATTTCTTTTTTTATACAGCACATACCCCAGCGAAGAGCACTATTAAATTACCAGCTCGTCGTGATTAAGCGTCGTTTCGTTTCTTTTTTTTTCTTTTTTTGCTTTACTCCTCGCGATTATACTCATTGTAATAATCCTTTTAACGCAATTTCAATAACTCGACTCATTGAGCAGGCAAACGCGCGACGAGAGCTGCTGGCTGTGCATGCATTTGTATGATAATAATCCGGTGGTACAAGAGAGCTCAGACTCGCGAATGTGCACGCGGCTCGCAGTTATATAGCATTATAATAGCTTTCAAATTCATCGGAATAAATAGACCTTTTTTTTTTATAAACGTGTAGGCTTCGGTATATACGTTCTCTGTAATATCCATCATTCACGCCTGTTTGAATACTTCCTCTTGCTGTTTCTCCCCCTTCTTCTCCTATGACGCGGACGTCGCTGAACTAAACTCTATTATATACCTAGAAAACCACATTACAGCACCAAAGTGTGAGAAGAGAGAATGATAATCAATTTTATTATTCTACTTAATGAAATACGACATTAAAAAAGCAGGCGACGGGCAGGTGTTGGTCATATTTTACGAAATAGTCGCGCGCTCTTAAACCTTCCGCTCGCGTTTGTACAACTTATTCAATCAATTATGGCATTTAACGACTGAGATTTCTCTCTCTCTCTCTCCGTTTTCATCCTGCTACGCATAGCCCGCGAGTGTCGATGCTATACACGAGCTCCGTCGTCGCAGATTTTCCTGCTCGGGCTTCTGTATAATACGCGTAGTGTGTATGCATGTCTGAGTGCGGCAGCTGTACTACTCCTCTGCGCAGCCGCACAACGAAATGTATACATACACAGCAGCAGCATCGGCTACGAGACTGATCGCCTGTTTAGAGCATACAGGAGAGAAAGAGAGAGAGAAAGAGCTACTGTACACGCGCGTACTTATGGAGCGACGAGGGGGAGCGTAGGCAACATGGACTTTTTGAGGCTTTTTCGGGGGCCGCGAGAGAGGGAGAGAATACTTCGTTGTAGTATAGTAGCTTCTCTTTGACAGGTTTTTTTTTAGAAATCACTTGCGAGAAAGATGTAGTTTTTTTATTTTATTACTGTAACCAGCATTCCACAGGCCGCACGCTTATCTCTTCTTTTGCCATATTACACCGGCAATTTGACTATACATAAGTTCGAATAACGATACAATAACATATTCTCGCGTACTCAACACAAGACATTGAGAGAGAGAGAGAGAGAGAGAGCCCCGCTACGTTTTAGCTCTATAATCGAAGAGCAGCAG